AGAAGGAGGAGGAGGAGGAGGAGGAGGAAACAGAATCAAGATTATTCATACTGCTGGACCAGGGGACTTTCTCTAAACTCCCACTTCTCTTCCTACATCATTCTGCAGTAAAGGCGGGGGAAGGGGGCGGGTCACAAGCACACGTGCAACCAAGGAAAGAAAATCCTTCCCCTGAGAGCTTCCTTCCTTCCTCTTTAAACTACAACTGCAGGGGAGAGGCAGTGTGGCAGTGTTTAGCAGTGTTGATAGCACTGGCAAGGCCCCTTGGATACCCAGTACAGTCCATGGGCACAAGAAAATGCTAAGTAACAAAGCAACTCTTCAATGGACTGTCTACACAGCACTACAACACACGCGTCCGTTACATCCATCGCTGTGCTGTGTGCAAAGCCAGATGTCCACACGCATGGGTTCCCTGCTGGCCAACCACACACTGAAATATCTCCATCTATCCTGAACATGCACCAGCTTTTTATTCCCTGATCAATACAGTAGGGTACCTCTTTATAATATGTTAGGTATTAGAAGTAATCCAGGGGAGATTTGAAGTACACAGAGATATGTGTGCAGGTCACACATAAATACTATGTCATTTCGTGATAGAGCGCTTGTCTTGAGCTGAAGAGCACAGGGACAGCACCCAGGCCCAGAGTTCAAGACCCATGAACAACACCCCCCCCAAAAAAAAAGAACAAATACTATGTCATTTCCTATAAGAGACATGCATATTCATGGAATTCCAGAACTAGTGGAGTTCTGTACCAATCCCCAGAACACTGAAGGATGATGCCATATATTCACAGGTAATCATATGGCGTATACTTCCAACTCAAGAGCAGAGTAAGTTACTAAGGGTTATTTGTTGCTGTTGTTGTTTTTGCCCATGTCTTTAAAGCACGCACGCGCACACACACACACACACACACACACACACACACACACACACACACACACGGCATGATTTTGAAAACTCAATCTGACAGAGTATCCTACCCTCCCTCATGGAGCGTGGTGTGAATTTTATTTCTCTCCCAATGGCTTCAGGATGCCATCCAGAGTCTGCAAGGAAGGGCCTTCTAAGGAAGGCAGGCCATCTTTTTCTCATCTGTATTTCCTAAGCAAGATGGATAGAAGGCTCCCATTGTGTGCCTCACCCCTGGGCCTCGGGAACGGCAGGGCCAAGTGAGGTTAGGGTTACAAAGCAAATATGACCTCAAAGAAGAGAAGACAGCACGTGTGCCGCCCACCAGGCCCCTCCCGGCTTCTCGCTGACCGAGGTGTGAGGCTAGGGACCGGGAAGTGGGAACAGGAAACAATAGGCTTTTGGAGGAAAGTATTTTAAATCTACGTATTCCAGATCTAAGGGGCTGGGGAAGGCTGCTATGGATATTTTGTCAAGACTTGGAAATCATGACAAAATGGCCATAGAGCACGCACAGAGCCCATCACCGAAATATAGGTCTAAAAACTCAGGCTGCTTCAGGCTGTGAGTGGTGGACAGCTGTACACTGGTGAGAAAAATGAGTCCATTCCTCTAGAGTCAAGCAGTCAGGTTTCCCAGACAGGCCGGGCCAGCCCATAATCAGCAGAAGTGGAGAACCTGGAAGTCCCAAGGAGTGGGTAAGGAAAGAAAGATGCAGAAGATGGACCATGAAGACGAGCCAGGCGCTCTGATGACACCATTGTCAAAGGCACATTACTACTTTCACAGACAGCTCAGGCTGGTGCTGAGTGCACACTGGAATGTCACGGGCTAGAATGTCGGTAAGTACCCAGGTGCATTTCACGTCTAGCTGGGACATTTCCCAATAACCTGACAGGTCAGGGAACATCTAGCCAAGATGAGAAACAGGGAAGGAGAAAGGAGAAGGAAGACACAGGCAAAAAGAGACCTACCTTCCTTGGTGCAGGTGTTGTTCTTCAGCTGATAACCCTGAGGACACTCACACATGAGGACCCCAGACGGGAGCACGCTGCTCGCCACGCCCTCTGGACACCTGCAGCTTTTGCTGTTGTTGGCTTTGGGCAGGCAGAGCAGGCTACAAGGCCTGGGCACACAGGCGTTGCTTCCTGGAGAGGAGACAAGAACAACGCAACCGCCAAGTGAACACGGTCCACGAGGGAGCCTCGGAACACGAGGAAGACAGGCTACAACCTCCTGGTCTCGCAGAAATGACAGTGAGAAGCTTAGAAAGGCTATGTGAGCAGCTGAGGTGTTTCTTTTTTCTTTTTTTATTTTTTGGGTCCGGTCGTGGGGCCTGAACTCTAGGCCTGGGCGCTGTCCCTCAGCAATTCAGCTCAAGGCTAGTGCTACCACTTGAGCCACAGCGCCACTTCTGGCTTTTTTCTTTTTGCTTATGTGGTGCTGAGGAATTGAACCCGGGATCTCAGGCATGCAAGGCAAGCGCTCTACCACTGAGCCACCTTCCCAGCCCCTGAGGTATTTCTTATACCCACCCACCTCTGCCCACAGCGCTGGGGAGGGGTCATACCCCTGTAGCCATGTTCCCCAACAACACCACTCCTGAGTTTAAGCCCCAGAACTGACTGAACAATAACCACCACCAAACACAGTATTCAAAACTGCTGTCATAGTTACAGGAACACTGCTCTTCGAATAACAGCAAGGCCTGATGGATTTCCTTCAGTTTCTGCAGCCATCATGGCTCTGGTGCTTACTACTTCCTTAGTGTGAGCTCTGGACAAGTGTTGGGCCATTTCTCTTATCTTCAAGCCCAGAGTCCACATGGCCTTGGGGAAGATGAAGAAGGTTTTGCCGGCCCACAGTGCCTGTTGGTGTGGTGTGGATGACAGCCCTCCCTTAATGAATGTATTTACGGCTAGTGTTTACTTGGCCAGCAGAAAGTCGCAAATGGGCTGAGCACAGACAAAATAACAAGAGATGAGGGACTAAAGACATCGTCCAGCGGCAGCGTGCACATTTAGCATGTGCAAAACTCTGGGTTTAATTCTTGTCTCCCCATCACCCCCCCCAAAAAAAAACAAGAATGAAAAATAACAAAAATGAATGGCATTGAGGGAACTAATATGCATCGTCAATTGCAATTAGCTCTTAGTAGCTAAAAAAAGCAAATACACTCCTTCTTGTAGCAGCTTTGACCTAACTCAAATAGCATCCCTGGGGCACTGTTCCCTTGTTTCCTGGCTGTGCATCTCTCTGGGTAGCCAGGAAGCCTCTGAGAGGGTCCCGCCCCCACCAAATACAGAATGAAAGATCATCCCAAAAGCAAAGCGAGAATGGGAGCCAAGGGATGCATTAACCAATCCTGGGCCAAAGGGAAGTCACAGTCGACCCTGTACAACACAGACTACGTTCTGCCCACCAGCACACATCTCCGGTTCAAATGGGCCTGCCTCTGTGCAGACCTAGAATTTCTCTGGCTAGTCTCAATGAAGGCGATTCTTGGGGACAAGAAGAGCAATGCATACCTAAGCTGAGGGTCACAGGCCTGTTAACTGGACACGAGCAGATCATGCGCACGTGCGCTCAGAGCATGCTGTCTACCCCATTCTCCACCCCCAGCCCCCTGGTGTGGCCACAAGTTAAGTATACCGCAATAAGAGGCACCCTAGCAAGAATCCCTTGGGAAAGCTACTGAATACCTACAATTTCATTCCTTAATCTGCAAACACTGATCATACCACCAGCCTTCCCTCTTTGCAGGCCAGTGGAAGGGCATAACAATAATACATATGTAAGATACTTTATAGTCTTTGGAAGCTGTTCTCAGGCTATCTTCCTCAGTCCCGAAGGGATTAGCGTGGTATCTCTAACTGTATCACTTTCCTTGTCAATTTTCTCTTCACACCGTGAGCCAAGAACCACAAAACAGTATCAAGGTTCTTGTTCAACACAGAGAACTTAGCAGTTTCTCAATAAAGGAGTCAGCTGACCCTGGATACTATTCAATCCTGTGTGATAAAACAGGTGACACATAAAGGGGCTATTCTTCTTGCCTGAGTTCCCTAGAATCCAGTCGGGCCAGAGATCAGTGAGGAAAAATGGCATTGAAGGAAGAAAGATCAGATTTAGGAGGTTCACATCAAGAGAACTGTAGTTCTCGTCTAGCCAAGTGGTGTATGCCTGTGATCCCGGCTGTGCAAGTGGCAGAGGTAGGAAAGCTGCAGCCTAAGACTTCTCTGGGCCAAACATAGGGACCTCGGCAGAAAAATAACAGGAGCAAAAAGGGACGGGGGCAGGACGGATCAAGTGGTGGAAAATCTGAGGTCCCGAGTTCCAACCTCAGGAGCACAAGATAAAAGCGCCACACAGAGAGAGGCATGGAGCCGCGTGAGCGCCCTGGCTCACCCGTTGCTCCAGCGTGAGCACCCTGGCTCACCCGCTGCTCCTCCGCCCGTGGCAAGGGGCCGGGTAGGAGGACGCCATCACCCACCCAGCACCGCCGCTCCAGGCAGGCAAAGCACGCTGTCTTCCAGATGTTTGTGTGTCATTAGAAAAGAAATTAAGATGTCATTAGGAAGAAATTAAATAATGCTCATGTTGTCGTGACAACCAGAGCCTGCTCAGTGCGGGGCGCTAGCCCGCACGCCGCCCCTCGCCTGAGGCCGGAGGAGGGGCCTCTGCCTTACCCGTGTTCTTCCCCTTGTAGAAAATCTTTATGTCCATCAGCCCCGTGAGCTGGCTGCCCAGGGTCTCTATCTGGGAGCCGCTGTATTTGGACGCTCGGAAGATGCTCAGCTGCGACCAGTCATCCCAGTAGATCTCATTCTGAAACACAAGACAAAGCCTTCGCCGGTGGGTCCAGCCTTTTTCTCCTTTGTCCCACACGGCCCAGGCAGAGGAGGAGACAAGTGGACATATGTTGGCTGAATGAGGGGCCTGACCAGAATTCCCCTCAACCCCACGCGTCGGTGACTTCATCCACACCTCACCAACTAGCCCCACGCAGGAGCCATCTGGCGAGCATTCGAGTCTGACCACACACAGGACCCCCAGGTTGAAATCGGCCGGTTTTAAAGGGGCAGAACCCTTTTGATGTGTAGCATGGAAAGCACTACGAGGGTCGCGCGGAGGGACCCGGCTCCTGTGAGGGGCAAGGAGGCACGGCGAGCCTCACAGGAGACAAAGCCTCGGAACTGAGCGCCGCCACAGGCACTTGCGACGTGAGCAAGGCGGGAGCCGTGATGCTGAACGAATCGATCCACACTCAGAACTCCGCAGGACTCGAGACAGCAGCGATGTAAAAGCCCCGGCTGGCCCGGCCTGGCCCCTCCGCGTGCCCCTTGCACTGGGGCGGACAGCGAGGGCTCACCTTGAAGACAGCGATGGCATAGGGGTGCGGGAGGTTGTCCAAGATGAGCGAGCGCTGCTGGCCGCTGAAGGTGGCGCGCTCGATGCAGTCCAGATAGGCGTCGGTCCAGTAGATCCACTGCTCGTCCACCGAGATGCCGTTGGGCCACTTCACGTCCTCCGACACGAGCCGACGCACAGCGGAGCCGTCCATGTTGCTCCGATAGATGCCGGGCTTCAGATCACCCCAGTCGGTCCAGAACAGCACGCTGCTCAGAACGAAGACACAACACACATCTCGTCAACAGGAGACACAGGGCTTCACAAAATACAATCCTCCATGATTATTGTGTGTGAAACTATTGCTTCGTTGACTCCAGTTAGAGGTATTAGAACTTACCTGCAATCAAATGATGCAAAGATAGTATATGGAATTATGTAATATATAGAAATATAGGTGCATAGCTGTATACAGTGGTACATGCAACAGACTACTCTGAAACCTACAAACCTGTAGGTGTTCACTGATAGTGGAACCATTTCCAAAGTAGGTCTGTTAGTAAGTGTGCTAGGAGTCTAAGCGGCACTTGCATGTGTCCCTGTGGGGCAGGGCATGCCGGAAGGCAATGCTTGTAAGTGGCTCGCAGCACTTCCCAATGCAACACAAGAAACTAACAATAACACTACTCCTTGGGGTGTGGATGAGGCTGGGAAGTTCAGAATCAGAATGGAGATTGGCCAGACACAGTGGCCCAAGCCTGTAATGCCAACTGTGCAGGAAGTCAACATGTAGATCATGGCTCAAGAACACCAGGTGAAAAGTTAAGGGTCCAGCTCAAACAAAAGCCAGGCATGGTGGTGGGTGTCTGGGGAGGGTTGTAAACCCAGGCCAACCCAGGCAAAAACACAGACCTACATAAAAAAATCTCTACAGCAAAAAGGACTGGGGTACGGCTCACAGGTCCCAGTTTAAACCCCAAAAGCACCAAAAAAAGGGGGGGAAAGGGGAGAAAACTAACTTCTATTCTCTGTTATTATCTTTAATCGGGTACACAGATTATTTTTAGAATTTTCGGTTGCCGATCATAAATGCAGTGGGAGGAAGGTTAACTCACTATCTCCCGTACAGTGATGTTTCTCTTCGTGAAGGAGTTAGTAAAAGGCACCTCTGCAGTTCCCAAGAAACTCACCGGAGAGCTGGACTGAATCAAATGTGTATGTCCTTCATGAAACTCAGTCCTGACAAGCCATGAGCGGGTCTGCCTCGTCTGTGAAGACCCTCCTAACCTTCCCCTTCGAGAGAAACATCCCAGGGACATGAGACACCCGCCTGATACACAGCAAACGGGGAGCTGGCCACGAGGCTGCCACCTACCCCCCCCCCACTCAGAAAAGGCAGAGGTTTTATCCAGCCCTTTGTGCTTGCGATTGCCACAACATTCAACACCAAGCTGACTTCCTTTTGGAGACCCACTTACCCCTCTTGGGGCACGAGGACCAGAGCCCTGGGCCGGTCGAGCACAGAGGAATTGATGATTGTGAGTCGAAAGTCACCATCTGGATTGGCTACCTGACAGGAAGAGGGGGAAGCCGGAAGGCCAGGTTGGATCTGATTGCCTTAAAAGGCTCAACGTGTCTGCCTACAGTGGCATGCTCCCCTCCACAGCTCTGCTTCCCGGCCTCGTTTACCATCAGAATGCGCTGATCCCCCAACCGTCCCACCTTGTCCCACCCCACCCCACGCCACCCCACGCCACCCCAGGCTGGTGTGACAGCTCTTATACAATCTGAAGGGGCAGCAAGAGCAACGTGTCCCCCTCCTCTGGGGGTTTCCAGAGCCACCCCCAACAGATGCCATCCTCTAAGGAGGTAGAGGCCCCTTAAATAATATCACATGATTGTTCCGATCAACTTCAGGGCAAGAATTGTTGCCTATTATCAGATACCTATGTTTACATAATAGATTGTGTGTTTCAGCCTTAGGCTTTGAGGAAGAATGAAGCAAAAGCTGCCCTTTGTCCCAAGGTGGAGACGCAATTAGGTGATTTGATTTTGAAATGCCAACAGTATCTAATAAAAAAGGAATAATGAGAACACTGTGTAGTGTTTGCCATCTTCCTGTGACCCTTAAATCATCTCAACTGCTTGTAACACCCACCGCAGTGCAAACGCTACGCAAACATTTGCTACACAGGGTTGTTAAGGAAATAACAAGAAAAGAAAGTCTGTACATGTTGAGTACAGTTTTGCTTTGCTTTGCTGTTGTGAGTATTTTTAATCCTGGGATGCAAAACTGCAGATCTGAAGGGCTGGCTGGAGGCCGTCCTGTGTCTACCACTTGGCTGGCCCAGGTCACCGTGGCCCAAAGCCTCCTGGGCTCTACACTGCACACAGAACCAATTCTCCAGGTCACAGCCCTGCTGCAAGGAGTCCACAGACTGGTCTGACCTTCTCCCTCTCCCACATTGGCTGGACGGCTCATCTCATGATTCTCCAAGCCTGGTGCCTCTCCAGGAGCGCCTCCTCTCTGCTTTCCTGCAATGGCCCATGCCGGCCTGCCCTTCCCACCGTTCACCCGAACCCCAGAGGGACATCCCCGCAGCTCCGCGTCTGCCCCCTCTCCTAACTCTCCTGAACCACTCTACATAGCTCACTCACGTCTCTCAGGAGCCCTCTCCAACTCCAGTAACCCTCCCCAACTCCAGTAACCCTCCCCCAACTCCAGTAACCCTCCCCCAACTCCAGTAACCCTCCCCCAACCCCAGTCAGCCTCCACTGGTCCCAGCATATTCAGCTAAGATGCCAGAGCCCCAGAAGTCTCTCTGCCCCGCTTCCCGCCACCGCCCAGAGCTCCCGGCCACCTACTGCTTTGAGAACCTCATGGCGCTCAGCGCCAGGAGAACCAGTTCCTGTCTTTCATCTCTTGGCTTTCTCCACTGACACGTCAGGTCTCCCCAAACAGGAGTTTGTATGCCTGGCCCACTGTGCTGTCCTCGAGCCTGAGACCAGGCCTGGCACACATCACACACCACAGGCTTTGTGGATAAATGCGTCGCCACCTTCCCCATAACAAAACCTGAAGCTTAAAGAAGAGAAGCCCCTTGCCCTACATCCAGCAGTTGGCAGCGCAGCGCCTGAATCCGGGGCTGCCTCTCCAGGCTGTCCTGTCTCATTGCCTGCACTGAGCCCTGGGTACCCCAGTTCTGCTGGGCTAGCTGCCCCGAGCCACGCCTACCTGCAGGTAGGTACAAGAGTTGCTGGGGCACAGCCCTGGGCCCCAGCAGCAATTTGCATGCTGTATACACAATGCTTTTGGGTTGCACAGCACATTTATTACCCTCACGCTGTGGCCTTGGGCGAGTCAGTGGAGCAAGTTACTGGGTAGTATAGTTTGTAGCAGCTAGAAATGAGCAACAATGCTGATGGGAATTATTACTCCAGAATAATACTGGAGTATTTCTGCTCTGATATTATCATCACTCTGCTTCTAGTAAGCCAAAGCACAGGCTTTCCTACCAAGCACCTATCCTCAGACGGAAGCAGTCATTTCCGTAAGTGACCCTCTATTCTCCCTTCTCCACAAAGCCAGCTTATCAATTCCCCAGAACTTCACAGAACATTTCCAGCTCTGTCCGATACCCTGGCCCCTAGCCCTGTGGCGAGCGTGTCTCTGAGCTCAGGTGGTCCTGCTGTTCACTTAGTGTGGAACCACAGGAGCAGGCACATACCTCGATCTTTTTAAAGCCAGCATCCACCCAGTACAGCAACTGGCTGAGGGGCTCAAAGGCCAGGGCCTCCACTGTCTCCAGGCCGGAGTTGATGATCACTTCCTGTCCCGTACTCCCGTTCAAACAGAGGCGCTAGGGACAGAAAAACCATCAGAACACCGAAGGGTTCAGGTGGCTCAGAGTGAATCAATCCCATGGACAGTAACCCTTTATTTGCCTGGCTGGACGGACAGCAATGAGCTGGTTTATGGAAGTAAGCTCTCCAGATATGTTATTAAAATCTATTTTGAGAACACTACTAAAATCTATTCTGGTTTGCAGTTTTAAACAGAGTAACAGAATCATCTCTATTACCCTGTATTATCATTATGAACACAGATTACTGAACGAGGCCCTGCATTGTAATCCTGAAGCCAGAGATGACTGCCATGTGTAAGTCTGTTGTTGTTTTTTTTTTTTTTTTAACAGAAATGAAACCAGACTGCTGGTAGTTTTGAGCTGTGTCTCCTTTTCTCCTCTTTCTTCCCCGGAGAAGCTGTTGGCTATGCGGCACTGGCCTGGCACGATTACATTCTGTGCCACCCCAGCCCCCCCTCCCACATTCCCAGGAGCCCTAAAACTTTTATTGGGTTGGCCAATACAGATAAAACTCACTGGAACTGCTTTTCTAAAAAGACTAAGGAGACAAAAAATAAAGATCAAATAGCTCTCCTTTAAAATGCACAGAATTCAGTTCATAAATGCATTTATGGCCCTTTCTAGCTTATCCAGGGATCTTCAATACGTGTGTGTGTGTGTGTGTGTGTGTGTGTGTGTGTGTGTGTGTGTGTGTGTTGCTATGTTTTAAAGCTAGGATCTCACTACACTGCCCAAGATGAATCCTGGGCTCCTACCTCGGCCTGCTGATGGCGTGGTTCTTATCTGTGTTTAGAATAAGTGGAGTGGGTAATTACAGGAACCTTGGATAAGTCAATTGTTACCATGTCATAACTTGAGAAGAAAGAGGCTGGCAGCAGCTGGTACAATACACAATGCATCTTACATTGCTAGTTCCAGAATATTCCTAGCAGAAGTGAGGCCTCAACAGTGCAATTTGGGGCTTCTTGGGGAAGAGAGGGAAGGGGGAGAAGGAAGGAGAATAAGAAGAAAAAATAATTATTAAGTCATTGCCTTCTAATATGTACAGAAGGAAGCAAGTGAGGTTTTATCTGTCACTCCTGAGATGCGTTTCTACTCTAAACCTCTTGCTACGGACACCTTTGAAGCATGTTGGGAGGGGACAGTCAGAGGCCCAGGCCCAGGAGGAGGCCAGGGGCCGATGGGCTCACCTGGATTGAGTCCAGGGCCAGGTCAGACCAGTACAGGCAGTTGTGCTCGTAGTCGAAGTCCAGGGCCACAGCCGCGCGCAGCCCCGAGAGCGGCAGCTGCTCCGTGGCTCCAGAGGCAAGGTCGTAGCGGTAGATGGACTTGCGCATGGCGTACAGGATGAACTCATTCTCTTCTGCCAGACACAAAACAACAGCGTGCCCCAGGATGCTAACGTGCCCCAGCAGCGCCGGCCTTCTCTTTGCAAACCTCGACCCACTGTCACGCAGAAGGGATGGAGGGAAAGGGTCTAGGAATCCAGGCCAGAGAAACAAGCTCCCGGGGTCACATTTCTGTTAACCCGACTCCAGAGCATCTGTTTCTTCATAGGCAAGGGTTTGGTCACATTTTAAAATTGTAGTTCCCTCAGTATCTGTCCTTCAGCATCTAGACTTCTGAGCTCAGCCTGAAAGACTTGGTTCACCCTCACCCCCAACATCAAAGAGACCAGGATTCACCAACTTGCCCGTCAGCCCAGCTCCCCGGCACCATCATCCCGTGGACTAGAAGCCCTGAGCCCTGGAGACTTTGCTCACACTTTCAAATCGCTCACAATGACGAGTGCGATGGGAACAACCTCTCCATCCTCTTGTTCCCACAATGACGCATCATCGACACTTTTTTAAAAACATAAACGCCCTTTGTTCCTGCTGCACACAGACACAATGTACTTACCCGGTACCCGGCATGGTTGAAAATGCCCAACCGGTGTATGGTGGAAGAACTGACTGGAACTCAGTTCACAAGTGAGAAAACTTGAGACCAGAGAGCCTCGCTGGCTCACGCAAGGCCGAGCCACCACAAGCGGCAGAACTAACATCTGAGCCACCACACCCTGCGGCCTTAGGAGACGCAGATCCTAAGGTTGTCATTCTTTAAGATTTAGAAATAAAGGTTAGGAGCTTAGGAGCTTTACGTAATCTCAGACAACCCACAACCAGAAGATTCTGTGCTCTTTTCTTTTCCTTTTGGCAGTGCTGGGGTTTGAACTTCGGTCCTTCTGCTTGCGAGGCAAGTGACTCTACCACTTGAGCCATGCCCCCGGCCCTGCTCTTTCTTTTCTACCTGAGCTATAGCCTGGAAGATGTCCCAATTCTCCCACAGGCCCGGAGGTAAGACCCACACCAGAATCTCCATCTACAAGTGCCTAGCACACACAATATGCCTACAAGAGCAGAGCATGTTCCAGAAGGACACAGGACATGGGGGGTCCTTCGGTCACACCCCACCCTGGGCACCCCCCTTTCTGTGGCTGCCCATCTGTAACCACTTTTACCATAACTAGGGGAAGGAGCACCTAACCCTGAGGAGCTGGAACATAAGTCGCAGAGCCGAAGCCCTCGGGAACTACCATGATGACCCCGCAGAAGGGGAGAGAGAGAGAAAGGAGGAGGAGAGGGGGGCCCTGTCTCACAGGGTTAAAGTCAGGAGGACGTTCATCTGCTGTCTCTTGAATCTGGTGTCCACCCAAATATTTGTTGCCTGTGTCATCTCTCTAGAGAGACTAACAACAAAAAAGCTTTCAAAGTGAAGGATACAGACAGCACGTCCATGTTCACAGTGTGTTGCATGTGGAACCAAGATGCACGGCTGAATCCTCTGCTGCGGGCCTGCGTTAGCTCTGCTCCCGCCCCCTCCCCCATCTCGTTCCGTCACCGAGTTCACACACACTACTGCCTTCTTCAGAAAGCCTTTAACAACATTAATGCACTGAGGGGGGAAATGACTGGGCTGGGGATACAGAGAACACTGCTAGCATGCACGAGGCCCTGGTCTGATCTCCTGGTATTGCAGAAAATAATAAAGAAATCCACCATGAAAAATTTAATAATGTAAGTCTGCCTTCTTGCCCTTTGGTTTTATTTCACTTCCTTTTGGTTGTCCTTATGATACCAGCTCGGACATGGGGCACCTGACAAAAGACACAGTCACCGTGGCAAGACTTCTGCCCAAGATCTCTCCCTGGCACCTAAACCTTGCTTTTTCCACTACAAAAGTACAATGCACCCTGCGGCCCACTGCCACTCCTAACCAAGAGAAGGAACAGAGTTCTTGGCTGGCACCAGCCATAACATGACCTAGAAATGGGCATCATTACAGTAACCATATAAAAGAAAATGTGAGGTAGAGATAGGGAAGATAATGGTCTCAGGCTGAAAAGTAAACTAAAACAAAAAGGGTTAAGGTGCAGTGCACAGGAGGGGAGAGGGAGAAAAGGAAGGCAAAGAAGGAGAAAGAAAGGAGGAGGAGAAAGAGGAGGAGGGAAAGAGAAGGAGAAAGAGGAGGAGAAGAAGTAAAAGAAGGAGGAGAAGGAGGAGGGGGAAGAGGAGAAAGAAGAGAAGAAAAAGAAGGAGGAGGAGGAAGAACAAGAGGAAGAGGGGGAAGAAGAGGAGGAAGAACAAGAGGAAGACAAGGGGGAGGAGGAGGAAGAGGAGGAGGAGGCGGAGGAAGGAGAATTATTATCAAATTATTGCCTTCTAAAAGTCCTTCCAGACGCCTGAATGACCTCATCTTTGCAGACATGACGGTCCCCATTAGCCTGATGAAGCATCTTTTCTCTCTGGGTATTTGCCTGCCCAGCCTGCTGTTTCCTGCCTTTAATTCCTCTGACATTTAGGGGGTGGCCAACACTGAAACCAGACTTTTCTATTTCATCCACTGCTCTATCTTCTCCTAACAGAAGAGAAAAAAGAGCTTTCCTTTCCCGCTGGTTCTGATAGGCGCCGAATAAACTGTTTTTGTCCCTCACTGAATTATCTTCAGAAATATTTATTACAAAAGCATGTACTCCAGGCACTTAAGAGCAATCATTCAAACTCCACTCACCCAAACCCTCATCAAAACCGGCTCTTGCGAGGAGGTTATGTGGATATTATCTGCTCATTTGCAGGAATCTGCTGAAGCAGTGGTTCTTACATCTCCACAGTGAGGTATGTTAATTACTCTGGTAATGACGGAAGATTGAATTAAAGGATAATGAACTTAGCATGACAAACAACGGGGCCAGCAGTGAGTGGAGACACTGCCTGCCCGCCTGCCTGCCTGCCTGCCTGCCTGCTGCCTGTGCAGAAGGTAACTGTGTATATTCAGTGACTCATTTGGTGCCGAGGGCAGCTCCACCAGAACCAGCCAGTGCTGGCAGAAATCTGTGCCACCATGGCCCTCCCAGGGTGAGCAGGAAGAAGGGCGTGGAGGGAATAGCAGACAGCCCTGGAAGTCCACAGGAAGCAGCCCGCTGTCCTACCTGCCAGGGGGCAGGGAACCAGCTCCCCTTCCAGCCGGGCTTCAACGTCTCCTCCACTGCACGTGTCCCCAGAAATCTTCCGGTAGCTGTAACACCCCAGAGAGAGAAATCAAGAAATATTGAGGTACAACAGCCAGGGTACCCACACTGGGAACCTATCACCTCTTTCCCCACCCATGGCAAAAGACTCTACCCACACAATTCCCCATTGATCTAGAGAGAAGGTTCTTGGTGGCTGAGTCTGCTTATGACTGGGCTAGGTAGGTGTGATGTTGTAGTGAAGACAACTCCTCTGAAGATGGTTCCCCTAGCATTATGGAGAGGTTTGCAGGTGGGAAGAGGAGAGACTGCACACACTACCCCGGTCAACATTGCCGGGCTACTGGGAGAACTCAGGGTGGTCTCCGGGGCTCGCTCTTCCCGTGGGCAGGCCCTCAGTGGGCGGCTGGGCGGTGCATACCCTCTCGTTCTCCTGTAAGTGGAGCCCACAGGACAAGGCACGGGAGGGGAGTAGGACCTTCCAGAAAATTCCGGGTCCGGAACACAAACCTCTAAGGACAAATCTTCACTCAGCTTGAAACCAAAATCACTGAAAAGGAAATTGGCATTCGTTCAGTTTTGCACATTTCACATACGTTGGTGCCAGCCCTGTGATTGTTTACCCTGCTAACCTGTCCCTTGCATTTGGTCCCTTTAAAGACATGCATCCAGGCTTGAACTCAGGCCCTCATACTTTCTCTTAGCTTTTTCTCTCAAGGCTGGCACTCTGCCACTTAAGCCACCTCTCTGCTTCTGGCTTTTTGTTGGACAAATCCTTGGATTTGTCTGCCCGGAGCTGGCTTTATACCATAATCCTCAGACCTCAGCCTCCTGAGTTGCTGCCGGAATTACCAGTGTGAGCCCCCAGCACCTGGCCAAATTCACTGCAGCTACATGGCCTTGGAATGCCCAGTCACATGCCTGATGCTGTCTGAAAGCCCTGACTCCAGCATTGCCAATCCCAGGCCTCCCTTTTTTCCAGTGGTCACTGTGAAGGTCTCCTCCTCTAAGGTTTCCTCCTGTAAGGCTCCGCCCCTTTTCATCTCCTACCACAGAGAACTGTGCACACGGATACTTCTCCCCTGGGATACCTGACGGAAAGACATTTACTAGCACCCCTTCGCTTCAGGTAAGAAAGTAAGCCCCCACCAGGACAGGGTCCTAAGGAAGAAGCGTTCCCTACAAAAGAACCTCCAGCATGGTCCCACTGTGGTTCAACCTCCTAGACATAAACCGCAGAGGTGCAAATCCCTAAAGCAACAACTATGGCCGCATCACGATGAGAACCACTCCAGTAAGCTGCGAGCCTCAGAGATGCTTAGTAACCGTTCTCTTCTATTGAGGGAGCTGCGGGCGCTCTTTGTGGATACAATGTAACTCAAGTCCCGGCTGCTGAGGAAGAACCAACCATTCGTAGTCCTCCCGCGTGCAGGAGCAGTTGGACAGGACCACGGGCCTGTCAAAGTCTTCTCCATTAAAGCAGGTGGCGTGGGGGGTCCTCCGCTTGAAAACCGTCTTGTGTCCCAGCAGACACTCATTCCCCCGCTCGTCCGACGGGGACCACAGCTTGTAGTCATTCTCTGTGCAGGGAACCCCTGGGGGAAAAGACAGCCTCAAACTTCGGAGCCAGACCCTCGCGGGGCTTCCCGACTCCCCACCCCCACGGTTGAGGCGCCCTCTGCCTGTGTGTCCCGCACCGCCCGGCGAGTGCCATCAGGAGCTGTCTCAAGCCTCCTTTGGGCTAAGATAGCCACAAGAATGCAACACTTAAGGGCGCGAGGCGTGGCTCACATGGGTAGAGTGCTCGCTCACTCGGCAAGCATGTAGCCCTGAGTTCAAACCCCAGTACTGCCAAGAAAGAAATAGCTCAGAGAAAGCAAACAGTGCCACGTGAGACACAGAGATTCACCTGAGAAATCAAGGTAGAAGAAAGTCAACTTGTCATGAGTCAAACTTCCAAATGACTGTCTTGCTTGCTTGTGACAAGATTCAACTAATCAGGCCCGGCTGCCATAGCCTGCTTGATCTTCCTGCCTTCGCCTCTGAGTGTGGGGACTACAGGTGTATACCACCACACTAGCCAAACTCCTAAACTTGGGAAAGGGTCAACAGTTCCTATTAGGAACCAGTACCCAGAGGCATTTATTTCTCTGCTGGAGACTGAGCGATGGGCTGTCCCAAGTAGGTGCTGTTACCAGGGCTAGGTTATCCGTCGTACACAGAAGAATGTGTGTGCCCTAATGGGACATACGGCAGGCTTGTGGAAAGATGGTGAGGGCGTGGGCACAATCACCCCATGTGCCCACATGCGTCCCAGGTGCCAGGAGAGTGCCCGCTGCGGGGACTGCTGAGGATGCCTGTGTCTCTGTTGGGATCCTCTGCATTTTTCACACATGCAACTTCGGTCAGAATTACATATTACCAGAAGCGGACGCACAACTGTGGATTCAATGGCCTTTAGGTGAACAAAGACTTCTGAAAACCCTACCGATGGAGCAGCAGCCGGACTGCCCCGGCAGATGAAGAAAGCCGTGCACAGGACAAGTCCTTGATTCTAAGAGACTCACTATCTAGCTGGTGGACGATGACACACAGAGTGGCAGTCACGAATTCAGAACCCGAGGCGAAGTGAAGGCACGTGGTGCCGGGCACAGAGCAGTAAAGAGATGGCTCCCGGGGGGGAGAGAGCACAGCAAAGGTGGCGAACAGGACTCCACCTCGTAGAGACCCAAGGGGTGGGAGGGAGGACGCAGGGGCGCCCTGAGCTCCCACAACAGTGTCAGCTGAAGCAGAGGAGGAGGGCAGGGTGACAGCGTGGAGCCGTGGGGCCTGGGGGCCTGGGGAGGGTCACTGAAGAGCTTCATTCAGTCCTCCTGGCTTGCTTTCATGTCCTGTCTTGACTAGCGGCCTGTGCCTTGACCCTGAGCAGCTCTGAGCGGACCCCATCACACCGCTTTGGAGACGGTGAGGCATCACAGTGTGCATGTTGGATGTGCCAAAGGCCTGGGGTCGGCCTGGGTACCTCGGTGAAGTGGATGAGCCTTTACACACAGAACTGGGGAGGGGCCGGGGAAAGAACTAGTGGTTGTGTCATTGGTAGTGTGTGTATGTGTGTGGGGGGGGGTCCTTTGACCGGGGTGCTGGGCTCCAGTCCCTCCCCCACCTCTTTCTCTGCTCCTGGCACAGGTCCAAAGCAACAGGGTCAAACTGTGAACCCAAATCAACCTTTCCTCCTGAGGTGATTTCCTCAGGCTGTCAGAGAGACCCGAAGGAAGCCGAGTCACCAAACACGTTCCCTTGGCCTTGCTAATATGGAAGGCTGTATTTCACTCACATGTGTAACAGACACACACTTACATCCGCTACCTGCCAGGCACTTTGCTAGGAAACCGAGATTCACGGAAAAGGATTATTAAGAAGGAAGGAGTAGCCCCCCACACCTCCCAGTGTTCTCTGCTCCCCTGTACACGCCCACCCCCCCCCAACCTCGCCAGCTCCCCTGAGAATGCTCAGCACTCACAAGGAAGTCAGCCATGACCTGGGAGGGAGGAAGGGCCTGGCGGTCAGGGCTCACCCAAGGCGTCCGTGGCATTGACCTGCAGGATGAGCCAGCTGTGGACGTTCTCCTTGTTGGAGCCGAAGATGGTGAAGACAGTGCTCTTCTCCCCCGGCTCTGTGAGGAGGCCGTACACGAACACGGGCTGCTCGGAGAAGATGAACGTCTTCCAGGTCTCCCCCTCGTTGGTGCTGTACCTGCCAAGACAAGGCAAGGGAGCCCTCAAGTTTCCTATCATATCATTACCTGTCACGGTGACGCCAGCTCCCAGGGGAAAGAGCTGACCACGAGGGACATTTACAGCTGTGTCAGAAAGCAAGGAAGCCCAGGCACCGGTGGTCATCTCCACGGAAGGGCAGGGCCCTGGGTTCAAGCCCCAGCCAGCCGATGGAGCTCCATGAGACCAAATTTAGGAAAATCTGAACACTAGAAATAGAACAATGTAACAGATTACACATGAATGGAAGCAGCCTGCGGCCCTTGGGTTCTCAAAGAGAGGATTTTTTCCTTATATTAGCAGGCTACCTCATGAACGTGAAAAACGGTCACAGAATGCACAACACCACGCTGACTCTAATCTCACTTCTAATCGGTGACTCCTGGGCAACTTTAAGCAACTGTTTATGTTCCACAAGATGCTCACACCTTGACTGCAGCACTGAGCTGGTTCTGAAGAAGGTGCGTCAAGGCGCAGGGCATTTCTGCTGCAGAAAGTGTCCACTGTGCCCATCCGGTTAATAGATTTGAGCTCTTTCTTACCAAAGAACTGGCAGCAACCTATGTGCGCTCATAAATGAGTGGATGGAGCTACGCACCGTCGCTCGCATCAGCAACCCCAGCCACTTGAGGGGTGGGCATCCAGAGGGTCGTAATTCAAAGCCAGACCAGGCCCCAAAGTGATCAAGGCCCCATCTCCATTAACAAGCTGGGTATGGTAGGGTGCACCTGTGATTCCAGCTACTCAGGGGGCCATGGGTCTGAGGCTGGCCCATGGGAAAAAGCACAAAGATCCTATCTGAAAAATAACTAAAGCAAAAAGAAGGGCTAGGAACATGGCTCAAATGGTAGTGCCCCTACCTGGTAAATATCAAGGCACTGAATTTTCATTATTTCAACCCTGTCCCTGGTTAAAAGGTTACTAAGGAGCACCTGCTCCCTACACCTCCAGGGACAGAGCCACACAGGATGAGGCCAGAGCGGCGTGGACTTCTGCAACCACGTCCCAATGTTCATGACAGCCCCAGGTATGGAGCTCACGGAGGAGGTAAGTCCCACCCCAGCGCTCTGGAAATGAGGGCTGCACGCAGGTCCAGAAAAGTCAGCCACTCTGCTGCACATCATCTCTCAGGGGTTTCCCAGAATTCCCAGAAATCAGAACTTCCCTTAGAGAAAAGATGCTGTGAGCAGGTCCAAAATATTACAAACTATCCATCTTCTCTGACCCTGCCAGGCAGACTGCCGAGAAGAAATTGATCTCATCCCTACCATCAAGCTGAGAAAATTGCGTTTGGTTCTTTTGGGGGGCAGGGTGAAAAAAACCAACAGACTTTTCTCTGATGATCTCTGATGACCAGCAAGGAAGAGAAGCCACCCCCACTCATGTGCCGGGCAGGACACTGGGGTGGTGACCGTCCACTGAATAAATGCATAAGCAAAGCCCCAGCCCAGCCTCCGATTTGCTTGTGTCAGATCTGCAGACACAACCATGAGACACAGCGTTCCACTTCTTGCCCTCAATTTCAATGAACAATAGCCAAGGCAACAGCCTCTGTGGAGAATCACTAACAAACAACTCATAGTTACCTGTGCTAACCAGGAAGAGAAAGACAAAAGACAATTAAGTGAACCACCTCCAGAAAAGGTCTGTCCCTCTTATTAAAATGACCGACGCTACTCCAAAATGGGCTTCAGGTCCGCAGACGGCTTTTCTAAACCATCCCTCTCTTTAATTGGCTCAGAAACCACACGGCACCCCAGCGGGCACGGAGGGCGGCGGACGCTGCTGCTCCAGAGCCCTGCAGCTCCCGCCCTGCAGCCTCAGTGTGGAGCACATCTGGTTCACTGTGGATGTTCAACAAATGTTCGTGTAATTGACCTGAAACGCTGCCTAACAGAAATGGGCTCTGTTCCAGCCTGGCCTCCATCTCCCATGGGAGCAGGGGATGCTCAGACACCGGTGCCGTGGACGCTGGCAGGGAGCCCCGTGCTCAGGAGTGGTCATTTACACAAGACACAACAGCAGTGGAGCTCTCTGGAGATGTGCAAATGGCACGCTACCCAGATCCCTTCTGGTTTTATAAATCAGTTTAAAAGTGGGGGGGACACAAAACAAAACCAAAAAGCATCTCAGAAGACTAAGTATACATGACCAAGTAGCTCATCTATCAATCAGTAAGATGGCTAGGAACTTGTCTACAAAAACAAGCCTTGCTAATGAGTTGAGGACTTCAGAAATATAATAGAAAAAGGCAACTAAAAAGCAAGGGATTTAGAATAAGATCAATGCCAAATGAGAGCCAATACATGCTATGAGGCTCAGGGGACAGAGAGATCACTACAGCAGACTGAGAAGGGTCCCAAAGCTCTAGATGGAGCGATAGAAATGCAGTTGTATCAGAGGTGGCCTGTCACCGGTCTCAATCTGAGGTATCCTCAAAAAAGGGTCAGATATTGGAGGCTTTGAGCCCGGCTGGCAGACCCGCTCAGTGAGGAGCTGATTTGGAGCAAGAGGGCTCTGTCTTCATCAATGGATGCACCTTCTGAGCTGGGCTCATATTTTGATTCAATCCTTTGAGGAACCCATCAAAGCATTCATCATTTGATGTCACTAAGGAGAAGCAAGTACTGGGAAGTGAGGCCTACAAGGAGGAAGCAGATTGCAAATAAAAAGTCTGAATCACACAAATGTCCACTACCTCTTGGGCATCCCGGAGAGTTGCTACCTCATCTATCTATCGCCTGCTTTTCAGAGCAGCAGGAGAATCAAAACCCTTCTGTGGGAATCACACAATAAATGCCAGGTGGCTACAGAGATCCGGGGAACACTCAGGCTGGTAATTGGGACACGGAAATACCTGTCAAAAAAGGTACCCTGTCTGTATCTTCATATTTGTAAATGATTTGAGCCATGCATCGAGCACCTCTAAATGACCTATGCAAATAGAGGACCAGGACTGAGATGATTATCTCCAAAGCTGACAGCCCCAAAGTCGTTATGAGATGTCTGGAGTGGAAGGGGGCGGCTTATGAGTTCTGGCACCGGCTTCGTTTCCTGTTCCATGTGTGCCGGCTAGTGTAGCAAGGCAAGCCAGCCCGAGCGCGTGTGTGATGTACCGACAGATGGAGTAAGAGGACTGAGCGCACACGAGCTCCTGCAAAGGAGCCAGCGCGGAATGCAAATGGAATCTGCGGAGAAGTTAAACAAGGAAAATCGAGAATCGATTTTAAAGTCTGAGCCCACACAAAGAATGAAATGTGTGTGCTCCTAGGAATGCAAGTTCTGTGCCTGTGTATCCTCTACACACACACACACACACACACACACACACACACACAGGCTCTGTCCTCTGTGTATCCTCTACACACACACACACACACACACACACACAGGCTCTGTCCTCTGTGTATCCTCTACACACACACACACACACACACACACACACACACAGGCTCTGTCCTCTGTGTATCCTCTATACACACACACACACACACACACAGGCACACACACACATGCAGCAAGGAACTAAACACTGCCATTGTATCGTTGTATCACTTGTCTGTCCTACATTGTTTCCTTGTCTGTCCTACAACTAGAACATGGAAAGCTTAAACATCCACTTCATCTTCAGCTACACAGCACCTGGAACCAGCTTGCTTGCTAAATGTGTGAAATGGAAGTTCAATGGATAGTTCCGTGTTATTAATTAATACAGACCTAAGCATCAGTTGGGAAGCACGGTGCTTTGACTGTCATTATGTGAGCGAAAGCCAATACAAACATGAACCCAGTGGGTGCCATGGAAGCAGAGCCTCCTCCGTGACTCTTGCTCTAAACAAGCCGCTGACCAGAACAGAGAACAGCCAGGTGGAAAGCGAAACACCATTGCTTTGCTTGAGGCCAGGCTTCTCGGCACACGCCAAATGAACCCCCGCTACTAAGATCTCTTCATCCAATCGCCCACCTTTCTCTCTCTCTTGCTGCTGGCCCTGATTGAAAAAGGAGCAAAGGCAAAGAAAGCTTTCTTCCTAGCTCTAAACAAGGTGATCACAAAAGCCTTCTGGAAAAATCCATCTAATTGCTCAGCACAAAAGCAGGCAGAACTGAGGGTGCCAGCCGGCCCTGACCCAACATGAACTGTCCAAAATCTCTAATTATGATTTTAAAAAATAGGACTGGAGGAGAAACAAAACTTAACAAACACTTGACAGTCTTGCTTTTATAGAACAATATAAAACGTAGAGGACATAATCCAGAACATTCGAGTATCAATAACGCCTTGTCAAACCCATGCGGAGATCTAGGGCAAGTTACTTCATCTTTATAAGTCCCAGCCCTGAGCTCCCCTTCTAGCCCTATCTGTTAGAACCCACAGGCTCAATGGGATATAGCAAATTGTTACCTGGCTAGCACGTTACATACATTCTGCAACTACCATACAGGCACAATGAATCATTTGTATTAGTCATTATTTAGTCCTCCTATGAGTGATCTGTCTGTGTCACACTGATACAAAGAAATACAAGTTGAAAGCGTTTCTGGTGAAGGTTTCTATCAGTATTAAGCCTTTGCATTTATACAGAGTTGTAGTTTTTCAAATCAATTAAAACCACCTCCCTAGTTTCTTAAAGCACCCCTCTGAGATGGAAAGGCTGGGTTCAGGTTCTTAGGCCCCTTCTGCAGATAAGAAACGAGTGCATGATTCTGAGAAGTCCCAGCACTGGAGCGAGAAGACGCACCTCGCATCACATAGGCAAATGTCTTGTACGAATGTGTGCGTGCACGTGTGATGTTAAGAGGCTTACCGAGAGACACTTACTTTAGCTCGTTGGTTTCCATACCCTGGGCTATGGCCATGATAATGCCCCCGTGGTCTCCCCACGTATAGTAGTGAGGTCCAGGAAGTGCCTGAAGAGGAAAAGCCAGAGGTGATGGCACTGCTGTAGGAACACATAAACCATGCACATGCACGCACGCGCACCCATGTTCACACACACACAGACATGCACGCGTCCGTTCACACACACCGTGGCCATGCCAACCACTTGAATACCGTTTTTCAGTTGACACAACACATTCCCATCCATCATCTCATCCAGTCTTGACACTCCTGGGAGGAGGCAGAGCAAGTTCTCGTCCCCATCTCCCCCCCCCCCCCCCCCCACCCCTGCCAAAGAAACAAGGCAGGCTATAGAGCAGAGGTAGGACTCGAACCCAAGACCAGCGATTCAACATTGACCAACTGGGGCTTGGGTTGTAAAGAGAATGCATGAAGTCCTAGCCCATCAAAAAGTAAATAAGTAAACAGTAACCAACTAGAGTTCTGCTTCTACTATAACCCTACAAGCTCCTTCCAGCTCATCCTTCCTATTAAGTACAACTAAGAACTATGAACATAACTCAAGTAAAGAAGTAAGGAACCACGGACACATGAAACGTGAATGAACTTAATATCGCCTGTGGTGAGTGACAGAAAGAAGCCAGGCAAAAGAGTCCGTGCATGTACAATCCAAGCAATGCCCAGTAATAACCTGCAGTGGGGGAATCCCAGGGCCGGGACTACGGGGAGAGAGGACGCTGTACCGAGACCTTCTGTAAGGGGTACTGGGGACGCTTGCTCTCTGAAATGTGGGAGGGAAGAGTTCAACTCCTAGATCAAAAGCTTACACACACACATTGACTGTACTCTCATACTCCTATCCAACGAAGCACACTTCATACACACGCAGTGTGCATCCCTGTGTCCCACCGATGTCGTGAGAGACATTCTGAAGAGCAGGGAATTTGCACAACTCATTAGGAGGAGGAGAACCAGGAGGGATTGTTACCAGTGTCCCTGGGCGTATTCTGTGCGCTCTACCCTGCCTCCTCTTCCTCTGACCCCACCTGGCACAAGCCCCCGACGGAGCCTCTGAAGCCAAGGCTGCCTCTTAGGTACAGACACGGTTCCAGTTCCTTCCCTGCTAGTTCCCAGGATAAGGTCATCGCACACAGGGCTGCTTCTTGGCAGGTGTTAGGGGGCTCACGCCTGGAGGGAGGCCCTGACCGCTGCCCTGGCCATGGCCAGCACACACCACCCTCGTGGATGAGCAGACACAGCTTTCCACCCAGAGGAAATCACTTGCAGAGGCGCAGATCCCAGATTATACCACAAACAGAAGGTACAATCAGACCGCAGCACTCTGCAGAGAGAACACCCAGGCTCAACGGGAGCGCTGTCAGCTCCAGGGCTGGGGAGGCGGCTGCTTCATCTTTCGGAGCAGGACAGCATGACCTGAAATTTCCAACACATGTACTTTTTGGACTGTTCTGGCCTTATCGCTTCTTTCTCCTAAATATGGACTCATGTGTTCTCTCCCTCTCTCTCTCTCTCTCTCACACACACACACACAGAGGATCTAGGTCCTTCACTCTTCATTTGGATGAATGGTTAAGTCTGACCATACGAAATTAGATGTAGAATCATCTCTATGCCCTGCCAAAAAACGAACAGGTTTTCTTCCTGCGTTATGTATTTCGCATATAAATATTACGTGTGCAGACTGCGCTCCCCAGTAAGGAAGGGGTGCTGTCTGCTGGCTGTTCTCCCCACACTCCTGTCCAGATTTCAGCTCAGTCCTATTCTTCCCGCCCCTCGCATCCTCCAGGGCTCCACGGACAGCAACTTCTACAGAACAAAGCCAGACGGGCTTCCTTTGGCCTTGTAAGCCACACAGGAAGCTGGAGAGAAACACTTTTTTTCCCCCAGGTTCGGGATTTCTTAAATGCCCAAGGCTGAAGCTACGCTAGCCTCTTGCGAGGAGGTAACTGGCTGCGCCTTCAGAACTGCCATGGGCAGCTGAGGATCAGAAGGAGCTGTGCTACCTCGAGGCAGAAACAGTCTCCTCTCCCCAAACACAAAGGAGATCAAAGTGCCCATCACAGGAAGGAGATCAAAGAGCCTGTCCAGCCTGAGCACGAGGTCAGGATTACACAGAAAAGCAGAGCCAGTGACCAGCTTCAGACCTGACACCACCACAACCATCCCGCAGCTCCCTGAGACGCCCGGCACACGTTCACTAAGCACTTGCAGCACACCAGGCACCGCCAGGTCCTAGGTGGGTAAAGAAACTAACAAAGAAGACATGTGCCTTTGCCCTCAGGAAACATACTCTTGGAAAATTGGCTCAGATTTGAAAGAGAGAGAGAGAGAGAGAGAAAGGAAGGAAGGAAGGGAGAGGGGAGAGAGGGAAGAAAGGGAGGGAGAGATTGAGAGAAAGAAAAAGAGAAAAAGAGAGAGCAAAGGAAGGAAGGAGGGAGGGAGAGAAGGAAGGCAGGCAGCCAGGCAAGAAAGGAAGGAGGGAGAGAGGGAAAAGAAGGGAGGAAGGGAGGAGGGAAGGAAGGGAGAAAGGAAGAAAGGAAGAGAGAAGGAAGGAAGGAAGGAAAGAAGAAAGGAAGAGAAGAAGGGAAAAAAGAAAGGAAAGATTTTTTTAATTCAAAGTCTTATTTTGGCAAAGTCACGAATTGCTTTCTCAAGTGTGAATACGAATCAGCACAGCTGGATTTTGCGCGTGGGGCTGGGTCCCCCCTTATTTGGCATCACAGATCTCCACCAGAGTCACCACCACACAGACTGGATCTCACAGAGACAAGCTCCCAGGGCGGGCTGACCTCTCGCCACCTGGCTCCGGCACTGCTGGAGATGTACACGTTGGTCTTGCTGGCCAAGTTCTTTCCCACTGACCCTAAAGCGCAAGAGGGAGAGCTATGTTTAGATGATGTCGGAGGACCTCGTCCAAGCAGGCATTCTGGGTAGTGAGGAGCAGCCGAGACTGAAGAGGGCATGGAGGGCAGAGCGCAATCTCGGCTGGCCGCGTGGCTGGCCACCGGTGTGTGGAGGGCGTTGGGAGGACAGGCAGAGCGTGCGCACGTACCGGTGGCGATGATGAGCCCCGGCGCCGACTCCTTGGACAGGATGGGCATCCTGCGCAGCTGGAGGTTGAGCAGCTGACTGAGGCGCTGGGCCAGGTGCAGGGAACAGCCCTGGGAAAGCTACGGGAAGAAAGTTCCAGGCTGGGTCGGCATGTGGCACGTGCCTCGCTCTTCCTCAAACCCAGAAGCCTGTGTGAAGAGCCCGCCAGGGGTCTGTGCCAGACCCACAGCCAGAACCCGGGGCCTGGAGGAAAGCTGAGGTGCAGCCCAGCCACCTCTGCGCCCTCTGAGACGGAAGGGATCATCAGAACCTACACAGACGTCTGCTGCCGACAAAAAAAGGAAAATAACTTAAAGTCCCGAGACTCCCGGGAAATAACAACTGTGAGTCGATGTCAAGTACCCCTCACCCCACCGCACACAGACAGCTCCCCAAGTAACTCGCAGGTAAAGAGAAATGAAATGATGTCATGGTATTCTCTAAATCAGTACAGATGTGTCTCAAATAAGATTCCCGCAATTCTGTCAGGAGAATAAGAAATAAGTCATAAAGTCTCCCGGATAAGCTCCCAGATGACGCTCCAGGAGACAGGGACACCAAAGGAGTCACAGCAAATCCTTAAAGGGAGTGTCTACATTTGTAGGGAGACGCAGGTGGACAGGACAAGGCTTCAAGTCGTTAAAGCCGGCCACCATCACCTGGGCACAGGTTTTAATTGTTCTGCAAGCCTCCAGCACAAGGCTTCTGCAATCGGAGGTCAGAAAATGACCGTTCAAGTTTATGTGTGTGTGTGTGTGTTCATGGCTCTCAACTGGGAAACTCTGTCTGTGTAATAACTGTAACAAGAGAGTTAAACCACAGACCCGGCCTCCGCGGCTCACTGCTGAAACCCTGGCTATTCAGGAAGCTCAGACCTGGCAGTTCAGAGCCAGCCCGTGCAGGAAAGTCTGTGAGACTCTCATCTCCAATGACCCACCAAAATTCCAGCAGTAAAGCTATGGCTCAAGTGGCACAATGCCTGTCTTGAGAGCTAAAGTTAAGGGGCAGTGTCCCAGCCAAGTTCAAACCCCCATACAGGCACAAAAATGAAAATAAAAGGCAGACTAGATCAAAGCCTCTGTACCTCGCAATCGATTTTCTCTCCATATCCTGTGAAGGCCGGAGCCTGAAGAAACTCCCAGGTCCCCCCTTTGTCAAAGGTAATGACGGACCGCAAGTTCTCCTCATTCATAGAGCCGTTGATGAGCGTGGCGATGTAGACCCCTTGCAGCCCTTCTACGCGGTGAAAGTCGGCAAACGGCTCGTTTGCAAAATACCTGTAATAAAAGAAAATAGATGTCTACAAATCTGAGCTGACATTTGCTTGGTGTTTTGTGCATCAAGCAGAACATGAAATTTATCCTTTTTCAAGTGTACCATTCACAGGCAGTAAGGACATTCACAACGATCACTGCATGGCTAGCTCCGCTATCTGGTATTCTCTTCGCTGGCAGACACTGTCTGTCCTTCCTTCCCTTCCTAGCAACACTAGACTGATGTCTGTTCTGTCTCTATGGCTATGCCTAGTCTGAATATTTCATATAAATGGAATCATGCAGCCTTTTGTACGTGGTACTTTCATTTAACGTGTTATCTAAGGTCTGTGAACACAACCTGGGCTCTACTGTTTCTTTGGATGGTCAGATGATGTGCTCTCTTTTTAAAAAGTAAGTGATTTAGTTTCAAGAATCAGGATGAGTATCTGCTCAACAACTCCCATCAGATTTAGAATGAGGCAGACACTCATTTTCCACATGGACAGAGAAGTCACAGCTATTTCTTCACTGTTTAAATGAATGCAAATCCTCTTCAAGAAACCTTGATCAACAGGAAAGAGAGAGTCATACTGGCAGGATAATAGCACTGTGCTAGAAATATGGCCGGAGGTTACATAGACACCGTTAGAACACATACGTATGTATACAGCAAATCTCTTGCCACCAGGGGTACTTTCAACACCCGGATGTACAGATGCCAGTAGTTCTCTGCCCAAAAGCCCAACAGCATCTGATGACTGACTTTCCAAAGGTACAACACATAATTACAATAGGTAATACTGTAGGATTGTTCTAGAAAGCCTGAAGCTTTGCTTGTAAGAAGGAAGGCAGAAAAGAAGGCCCTCCCAGGCTCTGGCTGCTACATTGGGGAACTGATTTCCCTGGAGGAGAGTTTTGCGTGGGAACGGTTCACCCACTACAAACACAAGCGAGCTCTGTCTCCATGGCTCGGTCGCAGCTTTTTAAATTGGAACCGTGCCCTATTTCAGAGGTGCTGAGCCAGTGGAGCTACACAATGAAGTAGAAAACCGCTTTTCCCCTCATTGGCCTAAACTAGACGATTGCTTGCCACCAGAGATGGGAGACACAGGCTACAAGATCCGAGGTAGGAAAAAGAAACAGCACCAACAGAGCCGCTGCGGCAAGATGGCGAAATCCTGAGTAGATGCCAAGATGAGACCGCATTCTCTGATGTAGGCACCCTGGGCTGTCAGATTCTTCTCTGGGAATCAGCTGAGGGTCCCTGGCCCTCCGGCTCTGTTTGCCTGTCCTTGAACCTGTCACCATGAAATCTGCACGGTGGGGCTCACTGGCTTCCCTCCCACACCTGGCAGGCCTGAGTTTCTGTCCAACAAGCCATGTCTCCTCCCTGTGCTCCTAGTCCTAGAGCTTTATCTTTGGCTTCCGAGGAGATGCCTGTCATTCACTCTGTTTTAGTCTGGGTCCATCCTTTCATTCCTCCCCTCGACCTTCCCTGAAGCAACTCAACTCACCCTCAGCTCTCTCTCCCTCTCTCATTCTTGCCCCCTGCATTTTCTTCCATCCTAACCTCACCAGCCCACATCAGAGCACCCCTTCTTCCCGGAAAGCCCTGAGCCGAGACTTGCCAAGCAGCTCACCGTGTACCTTTCAGACATGCTCAGTGAAAACTCCACACATTGCCAGCCATTCCCAGCACCTCAGCCAGTACCCCTCTGAAAGTCACCCCTACGGACCTGACATGTCATCAGCAAATTGGTTCCTCCAAAGGGTCCTAGGGCTAAGTACAGCTTTCCCTAAGGTTTCTACACAGCACATCCCAGAATGCCGGGAAAGCCCTCTATTAAGAGGTTTGGGGGTATGGTTTTTCTTTTGGATTTTTGTCATTTCTCTGAGGAAATAAGAGCCAGTCCTTTAGCACCACACTTTCCTGGGTAGTTCAGAGAACAGCTCACTTCAAATACCACACAAGTGGATTTGAAATCAGTCAGCTCATGTCATCTGCTAGTTCACCCATATCCTGTTTCAGCTGAGACTGAGGGGCAGATGACCATTTAGCTGACCACATCTGGCCTCCCGCAGTCCTGTGATAAAATCTGAGGGAAAAGCCAAGCAAAATGTTGGCCTATGACTCTTGATGCGAATCTATTTTCAATTTCTTAATGAGAATGCACACTCAGGCAGGGCTGGAAGAAAGGTTGTCACACACAAAGGGTTTTCTATGTGGGTGAACCAGCCCTCCGGTCATAACACTGAGCTCACTGCTGCCTGGGGGCCTGTCCCCCAGCTCCCGGCTCCTACTGGCCCTCACCATAAGAAACTCGCCTGAATGGTGTCCTGATAAATGGGGAAGACAAAGAAATGTTTGGAGAGCTTCCCCCTCATCCACCTGCAGCCAGAGGGTTTCCAAGGTGGACAGACATCAATGAAAGGGCCAGGAGATCCTAAAAATCACTAAACAAGGTAAAGGGAAGACTATTCATCCAGGCAAATGAGGGAGGTGCCAGCCTATGCTGCACATGGATGAACCTTGAAAACACAAACTAAGGTAGTCACGAGCAGACACAGAAGGTCACCTACATCTGTTGGTTTCATTTATATAGACTCTCCAGAAAAGGCAAGTCTACAGTGATGGAAAACGGCAGCTGCCAGGGTCTGGAAGGAGGGGAGAGTGGGGAGTAACCGGCCACAGGGTTGGGGTTCTCTCCTGGGGAAAGGACAACGTTCTAGAAGTACACAGAGATGTGGTCCCACAACACCGTCGGCGGACCCAACGCCGACAAATGACTCCATTTTCAACTGTTACGCTGACTGTTAAGTAACACCTCCAAAGGGGAGGGAAGCAAAACAAGAAGGTGGAAAAGCACCTTCTTCCAAAAGCAGAGTGAACGTCCTCACTGCCATACTTGCCACTCAGGTCTGGAACATATAGATTTCCAGCTGCAAACCACCTGAAACACCTCCTTGTTCTTCCCAAACCCCTGACTCCTCCCCGGCCCATGCTGGTGGGGCTCTCAAAGAGCACTCAGGGCTAGGACCGCACAACAGCTCTATGCAAGTCCTAACAGGTAGATAATGGGTCGGTGTCACTGGGGCGTCGTTTCTCTACAAAGCACCATGTTAACTTTAAGAGAGAGAATAATGGTGTCAATTAGCCCAAGTCACTTGGAGGCAGTGACTGGCCACACATGCCAGCTGCCTGACACGCTGCTATCTTCCAAGCTCCTTCCCAGAGCTCAGAGACCACACCAGCAGATGACTCAGTAAAGGTAACCCAGGGAGTGCTTAGCAGAGTAGCCGTGACCCTAAATGTCACGTAGAATAGCCGCTCTTAGTCTTGATTGCACAGAGGAATTGCTGGGGAGCTTTTTTCAATAATTCCAACCTGATCCGACCCTGGACCAATTCAACTGCAGCCATTTCTAGGCAGTGAGACAGAGGATGTGCTTTAGGTAAGCCCACCCAAGTAGCTGATGGTGGAGAGCTCAGCACAGAGAGACTGTTGCTCTGTGTGTGTGTGTGTGTGTGAGAGAGAGAGAGAGAGAAAGAAAGAGAGAAGGAGGGGGAGGGAGGGAGAATACACTGGGACTTGAACTCAGGGTCTGGGTGCTGTCTCTTAGCTTTTTCAGTCAAGACTGTTGCCCTACCATTTGAGCCACAGCTCTACTTCCAGCTTTTGGGGGCTTAATTGGAGGTAAGAGTCTCACAGACATTTCTGACCAGGCTGGCTTCAAACCACGATCCTCAGGTCTCGGCCTCCTGAGTGAGCTCCGAGTGCCAGCCAGCTGACACCCCGTGACCTAAGAAGGCCGTCTCCTTACCTCACCAAGCTGTCGCTGCCAGCCCCTCCCGGGCTGTAATACAGCACGTTCTCCAGGGACAGGGAGAATTTCAGCCCTTCTGCTTCTGAGATGTACAGGTTGGTGCGGTTGTTACTGTGACTGACACACACAAACACCTGGTCCTCAGAGGCATCCGCAATGTAATACTCCTTTGGAATCAAAAGCCAAGAATACGTAAGTCAGAAAACAGTCAAGCCTGGTGAAGAAAGCAGCGGCTTCCAAACGTCTCCGTACTGGAAGTGGACAGAAAGGCCTCAGAGAGCCCCAGCCCGGGCAGAGCGGCGCGGGCAGCTTTGCCCTGTGGTATCTGAGGCCTCTATGCAGCCAGGCCGGGCCCCTTGTGAGCAAATAGAGCACAAAGAAAGAACAGGCCTCCGAGCTCCATAAATGACCTAAAAACCTCTTTTAGAGGTAATAGCCTTCCCTTTCTGCTCTTCCTTTCATGAAAGGCCTCTTTTTATGCGTGTGAGGCCTTTTATTTTGATGAGCATGCACTTCCTTTTCCTTTCCTTTCCCCTAAGGTGTCTAAAGGGAGGTAAAACCCACAGAGACTCACTCACGAGGGTTCTCCATCACACGACCTCTCTGGGCTGCTAACCCAACAAATCAGGCCTCCTATGCAACCTCCTTCCTGGTGTCAAGCCCCTATCATCACCAGCCCAAGAATCCCATCAAACATTGCGGTCTGTCTAACGTCACACACTCAGGCACGTGACTGCATGCTTCCTCTCCTCTGCTCCTGGTGGCTTCAACCTGATTCTACAAGGCAGAAGCCGAGTCATTTCAGAACCTACCTAGCTGTGAGAAACAAAGCAAGTGCTCAACAAGGAAGCACTACGTACAAACTTCCCGTGGCGGCAGCAACACCCAGCGAAGCCACGGGCTCCTCCCAGGCTCCAACTTCTCTGCCAATCCTGTTCCACTTAAAGCAAATTAAGGCTCCTGTTCAGCACCACTTCAAACGGTGAAGTGGGCAACAAGGAACCAACACACCCCAGCATAATAGCTCTCTCCAGAGTTCTCTCCAGAGAGCGACTTCAGGGAAGCTACCCCAGCAGGCCATCTGCGTGACACCCTGCCCCCAACCCCCGCCCACCCTCCAGCAGATGTCACTCACATTAATAGGATGCCTTGTGACAAACTGGGCGGCTCGCATGGGCTTCCGGCCAAAAGAGACCCAGAGCTGGACAGAAGAGGGCTGCTGACTGCCCAGGAGATGCTGCCAAGAAACAGGGAGAAGGAATATTAATTGTGCCTTGCGATACCCACTCAAAACCCAGCGGAAGAAGCGAAGAGGGAAGGTGGTTGCGGGGCCGCTGCAGACACACAGCAGAGGCTGAGACGGAACGTCCCTGCTTCGCGGTGTGCCGTCACTGGACAGCCTGAGCTGGGCCACTTCATCCTGAGCAGATACTAAGTACTGCGTGGCAACCGGATGAAGAGAACCTAGGCCTGGGACTGAGCACTGCAGGCTGCTTGGATGTAAAGAGAAATGGGAGCGAGCCAGGTACTAGCAGCTCTATACCTATCATCCTAGCTACTTAGGAAGCTGAGATCTAGAGGATCAAGATTTGAAGCCAGTCTGGGCAAGACTCCATCCCCAAAATAACCAACAAAAAGTTTGGCTGGAGGCATGGTTCAAGTGGCAGAGTACCAGCTGTGAGCAAGAAAGCCAAGGGAGCATGAGGTTGTGAGTTCAAGTCCTGGTACCAGCAAGGAATAAACGAAGGAGTTTGAAAGAAGCTAGGAACAGAATTATAAAAGCCTGCTTTTCCAAAATGGTACCCCAAAAACTGTGTTAGTAACTTCTATGAAGCTATAGGAAATGATAACTCTATCACAATAGCACATTTGGTGTATATATAAGTTCCCAAAGCCCTCATTAAAACAATGAGATTTTAATAACATATAAATCTTTATGACTATGCAGATATCAATGAAATACATATAGTTCACCTATTTATTTTCACTACCTCTAACTGTATTGCTTAAAAAGGGTACTTCTTGGCCAGGCTCAATGGTTTATACCTATAATTTCAGCTATTCAGGAGGCAGAGAGAAGAACGATCGCAGTTTGAGAACAATATGGGGAGAAAAAAACTCAAAAAATAAAATAAAAAGCTGGGCATGGTGGCACATGCCTGTAATCTCAGCTATGCAGGAGAAAGAGATAGGAAGATCATGGTTCAAGGCCAGCCCAAGCAAAAAGCTTTAAGACCCTATCTAAAACAACCAAAATGGCCAGAGGTGCCATGGCTCACCCGGGCGAAGAAGCCTAAGGCACTAGGTTCATACCTCGGTACTGCTGTTTAACCAAAGAAGAGAGTTTTTCACCACCACCAAAATGCCCAACATTAGCTCAAAGTTCTTACTAATTACTTCCAGGAGGGCTGAGAATTAAAAATATATTCAAGATTTTAAAAAGTAAATAAATAAAAGGTAGCACACCCTTTGTAAAGTGTTTCTTTTACTTTAAAACTACCATATATTTGTAGATATTTTGAGAGAATTTAGCTTTTCTTCCTAATATGGTTTATGTTTTCCTTTAGATATATAATAATGTATATCTATAATAGTATCATATATTTTAAATCAATCTTCAATAAATTTTCAATAAAATAAGCTTAATAATGTCCTTATCCCTTAAAAAAATACATTCAAGACTACTCTGACTCTATAAATACAAAAATCACAAAATACCAAAATGAGCCAACAAAAAAATAATTCAAAACGCACCTATGTATGTCAATACCTTCCGGAAAAATTCTTCCTAAGCCAGAGCAATTCAGGTTCACTCCTTAAGTAGTTTTAAAGAGTCATCGTATTACTGAATTACCTCCAAGAAAGTACTAGCAATGATCAGCAATTAAACGCGAAACTGGCTGCAATTTGCATTAGAAGCGTTTGTCAGTGACCCCCAGAGATGTTTTGTGGGTGGGGTTTTCTTTCACTGCTATTATAAAAGCAAACCATGTTCATAAAACAGTACAGGTGAGTGTCAGGTTAAAATCCCTCTGTCAGCACCCAGGCCGCATGCTCCCTCCCAGGGCACCTCTGGGTGATGGCTGCTGTCGTCACATACACGCCCATCTTCACAGCAACAGTCTGCGCTGTGCCCGGCCTGCCCTCCCCGCACCTGGGACTCCTTTCCTCTTGGACACCAGGACTCCAACCAGCCTCACAGCTATGCAGAACAGCAGTCAACTACTGGGCTGGAACTCCCATCAACCGCACTGTTAGGAACCTGCTTGCTCCTTCACCGGTCTGGTAGTTCGTGACAAAACTCAATCTTCAGGGCTTACCCTCCACCACCAGCCCAGCTCTCCAGTGCTTCCCAGCGTGTTTACACAAAGTAAAGACTGGCAGTTGGGAATGCTTAACTTCCAGCTTGCCACTGGCAACACCAGCAGTTTGGGTACACAAAAGCTTAAAAGAGAAGCACTAGGAGAGAGGAAAGGTGAGAGGATACAGATCATATTCAATGTACCTGTGTGAAAACACAATCAGGTAAGTGGAGGGGAGGGGTGGGGCTGGGGGAGGGGTGGCACTGGGCAAGATGCACTGTGGTCATAAACTCATAGGTTGAGTTGAAACCCCTTGCACGACTACTTAGAGTTTTTCTTAATTAACTTTAAGACTGTAAAAGAAAAACTGGAGGAGATACAACGAAGAGGCTTCGATTGATACATTCTGAAAGATTCCTGAAGCTACATGGGCAAACACATGCTCAAGAGAGAGGGAGAAGAGTCCACTCCTCATCTCCAGCTGACCGTGAGGCTCTGCACAAGCAGGAAGTGACACCAGGCCGGCTTGCAGCACTAGAAGTCAACCTCAAGACGCCCAAGGCCATCAGGGGAGGCAGAGGAACTTACTGGGTGGAAGCATTTAAGAAACTATCAAATCAATCAGTGTGCTTCAATGTTGAGACACACCACAATGAATGCAATCTTTACAAAGGCAGGCTTTCTTTACAGGAAATCCACTGAACCAAGGCTGGGGAAATAATAATTTAAAAAACCCAGCAACCTACAAAAAGCAGGGAGTAGGTATTTTGATCTAAGGAGTCTCCATACCACTTTAAATGTCTGAGGTAGGCAGATCTGGAGAACTGTAGACTGGACTTACCAAAACAAACCGGGGGGTAAAAAAAAAAAGGGGGGCTGAGGGCTTGCCTGGTATTGGACAGGACCTGAGTTCTATCCCCAGCACCACAAAGAGAGAAAGGAAGGGAGGGAAAGAGAGAGAGAGAAAGAGAAGGAGAGGGAGAGGGAGAGAAGGAGGGAGAGGGAGAGAAAAAAGGAGAGGGAGAGGGAGAGAGAAAAGACACCAAGAGCATAAGCAGAAGAAAAATAGGTAAACTGGAAATTCACCCAAATTAAAAACTTTGGTGCCAAAAAAGATATCAAAAAAGAGAAACCATATTACAGAATGGCAGAATAAATTTGCAACTCGTATGTCTTTTATAAAAAGCCTAAATAGCCAGGCACCGGTGGCTCATGCCTATAATCTTGGCTACTCAGGAGGCTGCGATCTGAGGGTCTCAGTTCAAAGCCATCCTGGACAGGGACGTCTATGAGACTCAATCTCTAATAAACTACTCAGAAAAATCTGGACTCAAGTGGTAGAGCACTAGCCTTGAGCCCAAGAGCCTCAGGGATGGTGCACAGGCCCTGAGTTCATGCCCCAGGCCCAGCAAGAAAAAAAAAGTATAGATTAAAAATATAAATTAACTATAAAAAGATGAAACCAGCCCTTGTATCTAATCCCAGCTCCTTGGGGGGAGGGGGGATTCAAGGGCATCCAGGTCCAAGTTGGCTTTGTAAGACCATGCAATCCTGCAGGAAAGCAGCCAGAGAACACATGTGAACCAAGCAGGATGGCTGTGATCCAATAAAACTTTATTTACAAAAGCAGGTGTCGGGCCATTGTTGGCCAGTTGCCTGCTCTGCAGCACCAGGTCTACATCACACAAAGCATTGAGTGGCTGCCTGTCCTGTAAGGAAAAAGAGGAAGTTTCACAATGCCCACAGGTAATCCTTGCTTACTGATACACGTCAATGCAAGAGATGTCTGCATCTGGCTTGTGCCCAACTCTGTGAGTGAGACCCGGGGGACCAACTAACCCTTGCTCCCTGCAAACGGACTGTCATCCACCAGAAAGACTCTAACAGTTGCAAGTTACCAGATTAACTGACCACGGAATTTAATGGTGCTATCATTTTGATAGAGGCCACTAAGACAAATGCGTGAACTTGGTGTCAAATAACAAGGGAAAGATGTAAACTTGGAATAAGGAAATAAATCAAAGGTCATCAGATACAAAGCTCACATGAGCCCCAGTGCCAGAACAGCAGGGCACAGGCGGTTCTGAAGACTCGGCCACCAGGTGGCCGTCCCTACAGGGACTGAGAAATTTGCAAAGGATGCTAATCATTCCTGGCGCTGGAAGGAAACCAAAGGGTTAATCACTCCAAACCAACTTTGTCGGTGGCTTTAAAATTAGTTCCTTCCTTTATTTTCCAAATTTGATTTGGATCTGTTTAATGTGCCATCTAGTGGGAGCTCCCCAAGCCCAGACAGCCCGGGAAGGAAGAAGGCCCCGGAATAAAGGCGACACTCTCTCCTACCGCGAGAGTTAACAGACCAAGGCAAATTTCATTTATTCTTGCGGCTTGGTCGTCTAATGTAATACAAAGGAGGAAAACACTGTTTTATGACCTGATGCCAGTGGAGTTTCTTCCGCCATCCTTTGGGAACTGCATAATTGCCTCTAAGTGACACTTCCAGAAACCGAAGGCCTCGGGGCAGTTGCTCAGACTCCGGTGTTTCCTCTGTCCCCCGCGAAGCATGGGGACAGGGGCGGGGAGAGCAACCTGCCTGCAACTTGCCTCTGTAACAAGCGCACCTGTGCCATGCGGCCAGCCACGCCTGGGGCGCCCTTACCCAGAGCCTCGGCTTCACCAGCGACCTGGGGCTGCGGAGTCCGGGACATGTGTAGGAGGGAGAGCCAGCACGTGACCACAACTCTGCTGCCAAGAGCTGGTGACTGTCAGGTGACCGTGGAGTCACACCCTCCCACCAAAATGGTGTCAATCTACTAGGCTGAGCTTTTGAAGTGAGGTCGGCAGCGGTGGCCTGGACTCCATCCGACCACACGCCTGCTATGCACACCACATGTTGTGCCAGGTGCCAGGGGCTACATCAGAGAAAACCCAGGTAGACCTTACCCTTGACCAGGAAATCAGCTGCATCTGCACCACAGACAGAGCTATTACACTGGCAGGGAGGCACTGAACACTCCAACAGGACGTGACTTGTAGCCGTGGCTGTGAGACCTGGGAACGGCAGGGCGAGAGAAACGCACCGGCTCCATCCACCTCAGACCCACACGCAAGCAAAACCAGTCACTGGGTCTTAGGAGTCAGGAAATAAAACTATGGAACTCAGGACCAAGGGACGCAAACAAACAAACAAACAAAAAAAGGCCTGGGCCCACTAGAGAGTGGAAGATAAAACTTTTAGACAATAGAGGTCAAGGTGACTCAATCTCAAGGTCACAGGTACCAACGCTTCAACCCTGTTTCCACCTGTGTTCTCATCTCTGCGTCCTCCCCAAGGCAATTCACGTATGCTTGAATTGTGTGTGTGTGTGTGTGTGTGTGTTCCTAGGTTCTCTGTGTGCGCACACACATGTGTGTGCATGTGTGTGTGTTAGAAAATGACAGGCAAAGCAGGAAGGGAGTGAGCTAATATCGACAGTTCAATGCAAACAGCCTGAGAGCTCAGTAGCTTTTGAACACACTTTGGAAAGTAAGTGATAGGAAAAGCCTCTGGCCTTCAGGGAAGCCTGTGTGTGCCTCTCCTCCCGACCCATCCCTGCTTGGTGGGGAACATGGGAGGGATGTTCCCGTACCCTAACCTCGCATCCTACAACAGGGTTTAGCTGCTTCTGCTTGGCCTGCTTCCAATCATGGAAATAAACGAGAACGGGGAAGATTGCAGCCTCTCAGGTCAGCAGCAAGGGTAAGGGAGGCGGCCTCCTGCTCCTTTCAAAGAAGGCTGACCAGCCCTCAGAAAGCAAGCCTGGAGCTCCCAGGACTGGGGACCCAGCACGCTCTAGACGGCGGTGGCTGGCACAGGCTGTGGCTGATAGAGCAGCAGATGAGCGGCTCTGCCTTCACGTGTGCAAGCCCTCCATTTGCAACATCTCGCTCCAACACAGCCGCTCAAAGGGAGGGCTCTCCTGAAGGCTGAGAGTTGGCCGCCTGACAGCCAGAAGCCTAGTTACTGCTTTGCGTATTAATTCCGCTGGCCAGGGACTCTATAACCTATTGGCCATAAACACTTGTGCTGAAAAATCCCAAAGAAATCGGTCTAAAATTAAAAGACACCATGCAGTAGGGTTACAAGAAAAAAGCCGCCACGCGGAGATAGCCCACACTTACAATCCTAGCGACTCGGGAGGCGGAGATCTGAGGTTCCTGGTTCTAGGACAGACCAGGCAGGACTCTTATGTCCAGTTAACTAGCAAAAAGCCACAAATGTAAGTGCAGCTCAGGTGGTAGAGCCCCAGCCTTGAGTGAAAAAGTTAAGCAGGAGCATAAAACTCCAAGTTCAAGCCCCAGTACCTGCACACACAAATCATCATCATCATCATCATCATCCACTGCTCACTATTCTTTATTATTATGTCCATCCTTCCTTTCTGTATTCAGAGTCTACAGGCACTTTGAGTATTTATCCTGAACTTTCTACTCCAGGGACCACCCAGCATCTCCCCAGCCCCTCTGCTTGGACAAATGCCCAGGGAGTATGGGGCTGCCAAACCTTCCAACGGCCTGTCCGGGAGAGCAGTGTGTGTACTCTACTTACCACCACCTTTGTAGCAAACATATACTTGTCCCGAAGCTGGAAGTCTCTCACTCCTTCCAGGACCACTTCCTGGTTTTCCCGGGACTGGAAGAAGTCTGTACTGCGGAGCACGGTGGAGTAGCCCGCAGGCTCGTGCCGTTCAATGTAGATGGTGTTTGGCTTGTCATAGGGGTCGATTCCCCTGAAGGGAAAAAGGTGCCGTTACCACCCCCGTATTCAATCATGAGACGCATGGAGGGCTGGATGTGGGGACGACTGAAGAGAACTTAGGGGCTCCCTGATGCAAGCTATCCACGCTACCACCCGTGCTTGAGACACCTTCCTTCAGGAGAGGGCGGGCCACTGGCAAGTGTCTTACACGCCTGTGGCTCCCAAAGCATCCTGGGCTCAGCACAAAGCACGCGTTGGCCCTGCCCGTGAGACGCGGCGTGGAAAAGGGCACAGGGCGAGCAGCTTCCCGATGGATACACCACGGACTGCTGCAAGCAGGCGGGGTTTCTGGGCTCAAGTTATGAAGCTCAGCAGAGAGAAGCCCACACGCAGGGCCGCCAAGCCTCCTCTGTCCCAAGGGTTCCGCTCTGACTGCCCCCTCCACCCAGAAAAGAGAAAGGAAGCAGATGAACGCAGTCTGACAGGGGTCACTTTTTCATGAGCAGGGAAGGCTCGACTTCTGTCCTCGAATCTGGACTTGAGCACGACCGTGGAGAAGCAGCAGCCTGGGCACCCAATGTGGGAGAAAGCTATTCTGCATCATCAGATGCTCTGTGTGGGTGGGTGGTGGCGTGTGCTCTTCACCACAATTAGAAGCACTGATTAAAGTACTTCCTGTAGCCTAGAGGATATGCAAATCCCAAGTAGGCTGCTAGGTTTTTTTTTTTTTTCTTTAAGGAAGGAACCCTCCTTGAGATATTTTGAGATGAGTTCAGTTCTATTATTCCTTCCTTGAGCCAAAAGAGGAAGCCAGGAACTGTGACTCTCATCCCAGCTCCACTCCCCAATCCACATGCATGATCCATTTCCAGGCTCCGCTCCGCCTACAAGGTCTTATTCTTGGCCACCATCTTGTCTCCCAGCTTCCTGGTCTCACCCACAGACACTTCCTGTTCTCTGCCTCAGACCCTCCCGGAGCGTGTGCAGGGCAGGCCGAGGCCCTCTGGTAGGTCTTCTCCTGCCCCACCGCCAACCTCCAGCTCTGCACAGCATAAATAATTGCTGAGCTTTCCGACACCCCTCCTGCTTCCAGGTTACCAAGCGGGGTTCAACAACCATGCTTCTTATTTATTCTCTGCAAGATCAGATTATACTCTCGCTCAGGATGCGGAATTCCCCCTCCAACAACCTAAAATCCCCCCCAAACCAGACATACAACCCTCTAATCGACACTTAGCTATCTAATAGACAAAGATATGCAATCTCTCTTAAGATACCTACATGTCTATAAGAGGTAAAGTACACCATTTTCTAAGGCTGAAATGAATAGATCTGTACCGACTCCTTTCTCTCTCTCACACACACAAATTCTGCGTGTAAGAAGTGATGCGGTAACTTGTTTCACCATATTTAGTTATGTTTAGTCAACTGACAGTTCTGAAAAATAACTATGAGTTATTTTACTAGGTATATCCCATTGCATGGTATATAGCTTAAATATACATAATAAACTTTAAATATGCTTCTCTAGGTAGGCCTCATTGACAAAGAACTACTTGAGCAATGACTTGCTGAGGTGAAGGACCAAAAGCAGACAGTGTGACCTGGTGATAAACATCCTGAACGGAGAAAGCAGCAAGTGCAAAGGCCCAGTGTCCTTGGTCAGCACACACCAGCCACTTTACCCGCAGTAACCACGAAGCATGAAAAAGTTGAAAGAACAATGATATGATCTGACCTGCTTGTAACGGGATCCACCTGTCCCTGCACGGAGAATTAACTGCAGAAGGACAAGAGTGGAAAGCAGGAAGACTAGTTGTGCTCAGAGTAAAGAAGTAGCTAGCTGAGCAGGAGATTGACAAGGATACTGAGGCCGGAGCCAACAGGATTTCCTCATAGGAATGTGGAATCCATGACGGCTCCATTCCATCGAGTCTGTGGCTGAGGGTGATAGCAGCTAAATAAATCCACTCACCCCACAGTCCCTCTTGGAAATGTGCTTTATGCGTACCCTGCACGTGTGCCAACTCTTGCGGTCAAGGTGACAACGCTACATTGCCACCAACACACAAGGTCAGACGCAACCGCAGCTAACACACCTGTACTCACACTGCAGTCCATCCGCTCCACTCCTGTCCTCAAACACCTGTAGTGACTCTCCATCACTACCCAGAATTCAGTGCAAATCCCCTTCTGGGTTCTTCGGTCTGGGTCTAGGGGTTTTTTTTGTGAGACAGGTTCTCAGTATGTAGCCCAGGCTGGCCTAGAACTCATTACGTAACTCAGATGTGCCTCTAACTCCCAATTCTCCTGCCTCTTTCTCTTGAGAGCTAGAATTTACAAGTGTACATGGCCACACCCAGCTGCCACTGCAATTTCTCTTCCCAAACTTCACCCAACCCAATGTCCAAACAAGATGCATGTTCTCACGTACCACAGAGCTCCACTGCCGCTTCCAGCCATCCTGTCCCTTGTGTGGAATCCCTGTCTCCCACAGTCCCATAAGGCTGCATCCTACCTGTCACGTGCATCCTCAACCACAGATAATAGCCCCCACCGGAAACTGTTCACTCCACCAGCTTGACATCCAGAAGAAAGAGCCCCAGCCCCGCTCCAGCTTCTGTGCCCACTGCTTCCCAGTTGTGTGTCAGATACAAGCAATGTCTCCTTTTAGCTGTTAAACTATCTTCTCTTTAGCAGCTACATCAATTAAGTGATTCAATTTCTTACACCCTAAAGTACTGAGTAGGTTTTATGTTTACCAGACATTCAAAAAAAAAAACCTTGCATCATGAATGAACAAATATCTGAATTTTATATGAAGGAAAATTCCACTCCTTGTGCAATGCTTGAAAAATGAGCCTTGAGGAATTCTGTTACATGCGAGGGTCACGGGGAGATTCCCCTGGGCGCCCCGATGGGTTGGAAAACACAAGGCTCTACTCAACTCTCACAAGACCTTTCTTTCTTGGCCGGCCTTGCTTTTCAGAGGAGGGCCACAGACCTGCCCACAAGCAAGGAGCTGGGCCTGGAAATGAGGTGCTGAAGAGTCAGGTTTACAAGAAAACACAACTTACCAAGCAAAGGACTTCACATGCTCCTGAATCATGATCCAGGTCTGACCGAAATCATCCGACTTCCATAGCTGCAAAGACCAAAACAGCAAGAAGCAGGCATGAGGAGAGGCGCGTACGGCCTGCCCGGCACCTCAGTCCAGCACGGCGCCAAGCTGCCCGCCAGGGCGGCTATCCAGCTCAGACAGACAGAGCGGGCAGGACAGAGCTGCACCCTAGGGCCCAAGTCACCAAGGCACCCAGGAGTAAGGAAGAATGAGCACAATGCCTTCCCCTTAAAGGTTATCAGAAGCTACAGTTTACTTAAAACTGCCCTCCAGGTGATGCACTTTATGACTGGAACTACAACACCCTGAAGAGTTTGTAATGAGGGCCTCGGCTCGTGAAGCTTAGTGGGAGAGCCACTGAGGATAAACGGGTGAACAAAACGAGTAAAATGTGGCCTCTTCACACAATGGACTATGGCTCAGCCTTAGGAAGGGTGGGGATTCTGAGACTCTTTGGACTCCACATGAGCCTTGGAACCATTATGCTGAGTGAAATAAATCAGACACAGAAAGCCAGGTTAGTAGCCGGGCGCTGGTGGCTCACGCCTGTCATCTTAGCTACTCAGGAGGCTGAGATCTGAGGATCGCGGTTCAAAGCCAGCCCGGGCAGGAGAGACTGTGAGACTCCTATCTCCAACAAACCACCAGAAAACCGGAAGTGGCGCTGTAGCTCAAGTGGTAGAGCACTCGCCTTGAGCTGAAGAGCTGCCCAGGCCCAGATTCAAGCCCCACGGCCAACCAAAAAAAGAAAAAAGAAAGCCAGGTTATTATGATCTCACTGATATGAGGAGATGGGAAGTAGAATGGAAGGCGGTTGCCAGGGGTAGAGGAGGAAGGGGGCTAGAGGGGGCGTCCAGCGAGGACAGAGCTTCAAGACGAGAAGGGTTCTGACAGCAATGACTGTAATAACCCATACACTTAGAAATGGCTTAGGGAAGCCAGGACAATGGCTCACACCTGTAATCCCAGCCACTCAGGAGGCTGAGATCTGAGGATCTGCATGGCTCAACGCCCACCTCTGCAAAAAGTTTTGGAGCCCCTGATTTCATCCAATCAAAGCTGGGGACAGCAACATACACCTGCCATCCCCACTCCACAGTAAGCTGAAATAGGTGAATCACAGTCCAAGATAGCCCAGGCATAAACATACTCAGAAAAATAACTAAAGTGAAGATATGGTTGGAGGCATGGCTCATGTGGTCATTGTCTAGCAAGTGTAAGACCCTCCACTCAAACTCCAACACTGCAAAAAAATTAAAACTGAATTAAAAAATATGTGTGTGCACATGTGTGTGTGTGTATGTATGTATGTGTACTGAAAATGGATGTGTGGCTCAAGTGGTAGAGCATAAGCCTTGAGTGAAAAAGCCAAGCAAGAATGCAAGGCCTGGGGCTGGGAAGGTAGCTCAGTGGTAGAGCACTTGCCTTGCATGCCTGAGGCCCTGGGTTCGATTCCTCAGCACCACATAAGCAAAAAGAAAAAAGCCCGAAGTGGTGCTGTGGCTCAAGTGGTAGAGTGCTAGCCTTGAGCTGAAGTGCTGAGGGACAGCGCCCAGGCCCAGAGTTCAGGCCCCACGACCAGACCCCCCCCCCCAAAAAAAAGAATGCGAGGCCTTCCATGGGTTCAAGCCCCAGCAACATCTTCTCCAAAAAAGTAAAAAGATAAGTAGTAAACAGTATGTTATGTATAATTACCACAACCAAAAGAAAAAGATAGAAAAGAAAAATAAAAACCATGAGCTAAGATAGAGAACTTGCATCTGGCATGTAACAAGGCCCTGGGATCAGCTCCCAGCACGGTAACAGGCCTGGGTTGTTGGGGCAGAATGCAGAGGACTCAGAACGGGCAGAGCACCACAGGGAATGGAGTGAACAGTGAACCTGGCCATGTCATTCACCTGCTGATCATGGCCAAAGGGCCGCAACTTCCAGAACACCAGAGGGTTCCTCTGGCACAAGTTAGTGGATACTAAGAAGCCTGAGACCAAAAATAACAAGAACCCACCTCCTCTGGTAAGCCAACCCAGCTGAGGCGAGCTTAGGTTACTCCCTAAGGCAAGCAAACACAAACAGATCTGTGTTTTGGTTAAACAACCGGCAAAGCCAAAGAACTGTTCCAAAGTTCTGAGCAGAAAACACTGGGGAGCATCATAAACCCAATCCTACAGGAGCTACAGGTTTCACAAGTTTATGTCCCACCCCTTTTCTTGTTTCAACCTTGAGATACAAATCCTACCCTGGCTCTCCTCACCTGCTAGCTTACACACACACACACACACACACACACACACACACACACACACACACACACACACACACACACACACACACACACACACACACACACACACACGGAGATAATGGTACTTACTCTATTGTAAGAAGTTACAAGAACTTCTATAAGTGACTTATTCTGTAAGTTAATGGTAGACAAATGGCAGGTATGTCTGAGGGGGGGCTGTGGACACAGTGGGGTGCCAGGGCACTTGCCTGGGAGATGTGAGACCCTGGGTTCAATTCCAGTTTGGCCAAAACCAAACAAAAATAACAAAGGTGGAGGATGGAGACACAGAACAGAAAACGTGACAAGAGGTCCCAAAAGAGCTCACGCTCCAGAAATCTCACGTGATTCTCTCTGATTAAATCGTAGGGCCTCAGCTGACCACAAAGGCATCAGCCCAGAAAGGCCCAGTGTTAGACTCACAGGGCCTTCCAAGTGCCGGGTGTCAGGTGCTGGCCGGGACCCAGGCAGAGGGTGCCAAGGAGGATATGCTTTTCCTTAGCTGTGCTAAGTGAAATAGTAGCTACAAAGGCTAGCCCGGGGGAGGAAGGGCTGGAGGGAGGGGAGGAGGGAGGGGCAGGAGGCAAGGTCACTCAGAGGACGCTGCAATCCAGCCAGGCGGAGTAGAAATCCACGGCACTGTGCTCCAAAAGCTCTCTTACCTGCTTGTTGGGGTGAGACCGGTCGAAGCCCAGGACAAGGTTGGAGGCCTTGCTATGGAGGAGGAGGTCAGCAGCCCGGAATGGGATGGAAAAGCCATGGATGGTGCTGCAGAAGTCAAATGTGATCCACAGGTACTGGGCATAAGCGTCGGCAAAGATGTACTGCAAAGAAAAAAAAGCAGGTCAACTCAGAGCGGCACTTCCTCCAAACCATGAGCGACTGTACTGACAGCTGCCTCCACAGCATACCCACACTCACGACGCCAGGCTTTCCTGGCATCCCTTGTCAATGGACACACCAAACCAGGCTCAAGGAAGGAAGATCTGCAGAGACCAGCCAGGGGGAAACCCCAGCGAGCTGGGTTAGGGTTAGGGTTAGAGTGAGCTGTGTGACCAGGTAGTGGAGCTGGGTAAGCCTTTATGTTTTTCCTTCCAACGGGACCTGGCCTAAAATTCTTAGCGTCTATCTACAGGCCGATCAACACCATGAGGGTGGTGTTGGCAGCCAGGACAAAGATGTCCTGCTCTTCAGATCGGTCATCTCTCCCTGCATCTCCTGAGCACCTCTGAGACAGGCGTGCCTTTCCATGAAAACCGCTGAAATCCCATCCACCCAAGATACGCGGTGACTTCTCACTATGGTGCCAGATGAGCGGGCATCCCTGGGGTCACGCGAAGCTTGCAGACATGCCCAGGCAGAGCAGCAAGTAGCTCTAGTGAGCAGGGACTGGCCGTATTTGGCTCCTGCACCGGCCAGGCTGGACAGTGCTGCTGTGGCCTCCAGATTTCCCAGGGGGCAGCACCAGGGCAGTTCAACGTAATGTGTGCACCAGAGGCCCGGCACAGGCAACACGGGGGAAGCCACAGTGAAAATCCAGCATCCTTCCCCAAGTGTCCTGAGAAATGAATGGAAGAGACAGGCCGGGCCACGGCTGCCCATCATCCACAGGTAAACAACAGAAACACAACAATCAAGCCTTGTAGAGTCCCACAGGAACCGATCCAGTCCCAGGTATCTGAAATGGCACCTTCTAAGAGGTGGGTGCTGAAGGACAGGCATGACTTCCACGAGAAAAGGTGACCCCATGCCGGGGGCCCTTGAGTTTGATGGAGGTCTCAAGGGCTTGGGGGAAGGATTGGAAATGAGGCTGGGGCATAGTTGATGCAGGCCTGGAGTGAACGTAATGAGGCCAGGGGCCAGCTCTGCTCCTGAGCGGCCCAGGGGACCAGGCCTACGAACCAGAAACTAGAGCAAGAGGAACTCGGCTCCACCCACAAGCCAGCCTCCACATCCGAGAAGTCAGCCAATCTGACAGAATCAGCTCAAGGACACTTTCCCGGTCGGCATCTGACCCGTTCTCCCGCTGAGAGCCTTCCTGCACCATACCGGGTATGGACAGATGCTCTAACCTTGTTTCCAGACTGCATGCTCTCCCTAAATCCAAACCACAAGCTTCCCAGAGATGCAAGCCCCGTGTTCTTCTTCTCTTGTGTTTTCTCCCCAGCATCTAATGTAAATCTTCACACTCTACAGAAGACTAATTAAATCTAACATTTTTTTTTAAAAAGTGAATGTTTTGAAAGCAAAAACGACACTAAGCAAATGCAATGCAATAAAAACAATTATGATCCCGGGATGATTATCATAATTTTCATCACGAAAGTATTCTCTAGAAATAGCACTACCCTTCAGCTCCTAAGCCGTCTTGGTTCCTGGGGAAGAGAGCAATCTGAGTTGGAGAAGATTTCTCCAGAAATTCATTTCATGGCTTGCAACAAGATCATATTTGTGAATCTAAAACATCACAGAACTTGTTAACTGTTTATGGATTATAGCTGACAATTTTACCAGTGCATCTTCCTATGCCAAACACCAAGCTAAGAGTTCTCCATGCCTCTCATTCACTCTATTCTTATTCACAGAGACTGAGACCCTGCAGAGACTCAAGACCCCGGATAGCGGATAGCGTGGTCGCCCCTTTTGATAATAACACTGAAGCTCACAGCCGTCAACGAGCCCTGAGGACACAAGGCCAAACCCACTTCCAAGCCACATCCAACCGGTGCAGAGCCTGTCCCTTAACCGTTCATCAATCCTTCCCTCTTCCAGTTGAAACTCAGCATTTCCCAGATTCAAATCACAGGTCTTACCCGGCGCTGTTTAATTCTCTCCCTTCCCTTGCCTTCTGCCACTCAACTGTGGATCTCAGCTCTCATTTCTAGCTCCTCTTCCATCTCTGGCCCTGACTGGTGCAGACCCTGCTTCTCCTTTGCAGGTTCCTCGGTGCCTCCATCCCCTCTGCACCCCTGTGGAAGCTGGGCCCTCCTCGATCATTGGCTAATGTGGCCAAACCTTACACGCGGCTCCAGGTGCGCCTGTGTTTGGATGGGGTTGGTCACGCACTGGAAGCTCGGTCCTGGGGTGTGGTAATTTTAGGAGGTACCTTGAAGCAGTGGGGCCTCACGCAGGGTAAACTGATCACTAGTCGTGACAGGATTCAGTGGTTCTCTCCTCCTACCCTCTGGCTTTCTGGTCTTGCCAGGAATCTCTCCCTCAGTAGCATCCCCACCATGGTAGAATGAAGCCAGGAGTGTTCCCACCAGAGGTCAGCTTGAGGGGACTATGCTCTCTTGGCTTTTCCGCTTCCAAGAACGACAGGCTACATATCATTTTTTCTCTTTATGAAGTATCTAGCCTTGGTATTCTGTTAAGTCCCTGGTGTCTCTCACGACGCGTGGAGTGTGGAATGCTCAGGGGTTCGGCTGAGGGATGAGCGGCTGCACTGCTGCTAGCGTTCCCATCCCAGACTCTCCTCTTTCCCATCCCGCCATGCACACTGCAGACGCTAAAGGACACCCGGCTGCCTTTCCTTACATTGTTATGGCGCGACTCCCCACAGTCATCAAGGCAAGAGACAATCGCCTCCACCTGCAGCTCAGGGCTGGTGGGCTCTGAAAAGCAGCGGAGGGCAAGCGCTCTGCCCTTGAGACGCAAACCTCCAGATGCCCTGCGCAGAAACTGCGTGCTGGCATCCCCACGCCTCCACCAGGCCATACTCCAGCCCAGCCCTGATGCCACATGCCCATCCGATCCAGCACCCCGTGGCGACGTCTCCTCTGAGCCAAGTTCACCTCATCCCAGCTCCATGCAAAGGCAGCCTCCCTCTCTCCTGGGCATAGGGGGCACCCTGATTCCAGGCCGTGCATCCCCTACGCACCCGGCAGGAGAGCAGAGCGCCCCTCCCCGCTGAGAGGTCTCTGCGGCGCCTGTGACGTTCGCTGCCGTCCAACTCCACAGGTCTCCAGCAGCACAACCCTACCGACTGCCTCCGGACCGCAGCTCCAGCCAGCCACTTGCTGCCCAGCCCAGGCTCCCATCACTTAGGATTTCAGAGGAGCCCCGGCCATTGGCTAAGTTGTGTTCCCTCTGGAAATACAAATTCTTCTGGAAAGATAACAACAGAATGCACCCACATGCTGTTGGGCACAAGGGATTCTCCCTAGCTCTGAGAGCAGACATGAGATGTTAATGAAGAGCACAAGGCAACACAGGAAGGGAGGAAGGAAGGAGGGAGGAAGGAAGGAGGGAGGGAGGGAGGGAGGGAGGAAGGGAGGGGATAGAGAGACTTGCCTACCATTTTACCTGGGATCAGCCTCAGCCTGGAGGAAGGCAGGGCTGCTCCTCACTGCTGCTGAGGTCAAGACTGGGACCCAAGAACACTTCAGAGGCCCTTGTGGAGGAACCCTAGATGTAGGGAGACCCCACCCAGACAGCCTCACGACCTCTAAGGAGCTGCCAGGTTCCTAGAGCGGCCCACTGCTCAGGATGCAGCGCAGGGCAGCAGGAAGAAGGCTGAGGGACTAGAGACCAATGTGACAGGAGAGCCTGACATCCACAGCCAGCAGCTCCATCTCCAAGCAGGCTGAGCCTAGGTCGGCACGGGCGGCGGCCTCCCCCTCCCTTCTCTCTCCTCCCACCGCACACAGCCCCCCCAGACCTGCATGCTGCCCTCTCCTGTCACCAACACCTGTTCCCAGAGCCCCTGCGGCCATCCGCTGTCACCACTGACAACCCACAGGACCTCCTGTGTGCAGGGGACATGTCTGAGCCCACACCCTGCCGTTGACGGTGACGTGTGTAATTCTTCCCCGGAAGTGGAGGGGTAATTTGCCTCTTAGGGAACAAAGGTAAAAGTAATCAGCTCAGTTAAGTCACCTCTTCCTTCCTGAGATGTCTGGGGAAGGTAACCGCCTTTCTCAGGGGAACTAGAGACCCTTCCTCCGTGGCCGTTATCATCCTGTTCTCTGGATGCCTCAGCCTCGAGCTCACCCTCAAGAGACAGACGACGCACCACTCTGCAAGGCCAAGGACCCTAACTGGGAGCCATGGGACCTCTGCCTTCCCTCTCTCCCTCCCACCGCACACCAGGTCTCCTTGGTCTGTTGCCCCAGAACTGCAGGGCTATTCTTCTGCCACCCAAAAGCCCCCCAACGCCCGAATTTCTCCCCCTGCTCCCCAGCGGAGCACAGCACCCTTCCTGTCTGCCAGCTCCTCCCACTCGGGGTGTGCACAGACCAGACCGCACCACAACCCACCCCACACAGGAAGGAGGACACACTGCCTGCCCAGCTCCAAGCCCTAAGTGCAAACCAGAAGTCCAGCAGGCCAACAGGACAACACAAGGCCATCCTCGAGTTGGCTCGAGACACTAGGATCTAAGGGTAACATGACCCTCAGGCTAGAAGTCCCAGATCAAGGGCAGGATGGATGGAGTGTGGCTAGATCCTAGAGGCACTCAGGCCACGCCCACACGGAGAGCCCAAGACCAGATGGAGAGCACCCCACTACCTCTGTGAGTCCCCAGGACCAGACCCACGGACCACAGGGCAGTGGGCCAGAGATGTCACACCCAGCCACAGGTCTACACTGCACGTTAGTTCTCTCCAACACCTGCTCTTTGCTTGTCAACCCCGAGGAAAAAGACTGCCACCCTCTTTTCAGATAAGACAGAGAAGTGCATAGCTAACACCTACATCACTAGGCAATGCCGATACCAAACTCATCTGTACCAATAGGGTTCTGGTGATTCCTGAACTTTCTCTGTAACCAACTGGTAAGCAGCCCTAGCAGCCTGGAAAAAAAAAAAACTCCATAGCACCTCAGCCTCCTCATAAAGCCCCAGAGTCCAGGCCTCTGCTATCAAGTCCCAGAACCCCCTACCTTCTCCTCCTCCAACTAAAGGTTAAAACCTAGCCAGGGGGAGGGGGGCTCTCAAACCTAGCTCCTTCCAGACATGGTCTGTTCAGATTGAGCAGAACCTGCCCAAAACAGTTCTAAATACTTTGAATGGATCTCCTGCCAAGAGACCACAGGAACGCTGAGCAGCCAGCAAAGGGTTCTGGAAGAAGGCCCTGTGGCCCTGGATCACGCAGTCCCCTCTGGATAAGCAGAAAGCTTCTACGACTAGGCAGATCATCTACAAAGGGCCCATCCAGAGGAGAAATCAGGGGCCCTGAAAATAAGGAACCAAACTCAAAGAGAAGAGCTCCAAAACAGGCAGGAAAGTCTTGCACGCTGTGAGTTCCTGTTCTCCTCCTCCACCTGCTTGGAGTGGGAGGGGGAAGGGAAGACAGGATCAAAGCTCCCTTCTACTCTTGGGGGGCAGGGGGCATTGCTAAACAATCAGAGGCCCCAGGCATGGTAAGAAAACACAACAGAGGGGCTGGGAAGGTGGCTCAGTGGAAGAGCACTTGCCTTGCATGCCTGAGGCCCTGAGTTCGATTCCTCAGCACCACATAAGCAAAAATTAAAAAGCCAGAAGTGGTGCTGTGGCTCAAGTGGTAGAGCGCTAGCCTTGAGCTGAAGAGCTGAGGGACAGCGCCCAGGCCCAGAGTTCAGGCCCCACGACCGGACCCAAAAAAAAAAAAAGAAAGAAAACACAACAGAGGCTGCTGGCTTGAGAGGCTTTTGTGGGAGGCTGTTTACAGACACATGACACACATACGCACACTCGGATAAGGAAATCAAGAGTTCAACAGGCCCCATGGGAAGGCAAGGATCATGCAGTGATGTGGATCACAATGCACCTGGGAAACATTTCTGCCACCGGTGAGTCAGTGAGTCACTGCCTGGCAGATTTCCCATGGCTGAACCTGCCGTTGTTTGTCTAGAAATCTTGCCTGGCCAGTATTTGGCCTGCCTGAAATCGCCCAGATCCACCCCGAGAACTGCAGCCCCGCCACCAGCCCGCAGCTTCAGTGAAGCACAGTGGCTGACTCCCACTCGCACTGTGAAGTTCAAGAGGGCTCGGTGACCCCTCATCCCCTCAGCACAGCAGCCAGCAACGGCCCCAGACGCGGTGCTGTGAAGCCAGGCCCGACCATGCAGTGCGGGCCCTCCATGGCCTGCCACCTTACCCTCTTGTTGTCTGCAGGGCTGTGGTAGAACTGGGCGATGACAGCTGCCGTGTTATTTCCCTCACCAAAGTTGAGTTTCTCCGAAATCTTGTTGAAGGACTTCCCGTAGTCGTAAGACACGTACACCTGCAACACACAGAACGGGAGGCATGAGGAGAGAGCTGGGGAGGGATAGGGAGACCCGGTGCTCTGCCTCTATCCTCACCGCATCCTGCCATGGACCCTGAACGCCGCAGCCCTGTGTCCCTGCATTCATGCACTACGGAAACTACCAGATAACTAGGAGAGCTACAGCCACCTCTGCCTGGAAGACACCAGCCTCTTTACTGAGAGAAAGAGCCAGCTGTGTGCCAGCACTGTCTAGTGTTTAACAAAGTACATCCAGAGATGCAGAGGGAACATGCTCCCTTCTGAAGGGAAAACTTGTTTTACCATCTACACCCATGTCTCTGAAAGGTAATCTAATTTTTCCTGCCTCGGCCAGCAAGCTTGTCTCTCAGAGCATTCCAGACACAGGACAGAAAACTCTCAACTCCAGAGAGACGAAAAAAAGAAGAGCTGGAGTGGCTCATTGTGCAAGCATGGGCCGGGTGGCAGGTGGGAGGCGTGGCTCGGGGGTACAGCACTTGCCTAGAATGAGCGAGACCCCGGTTCAACTCCCAGAATCCCTCTCTTGCATTAGTGTTTTCTTCTGTGGCCCACAGCAGCAACAGGATCAATGCCTGGGCCAACAGATGTCCCTTCTCCATGGCGCCCTGATCTCTGGAGAGAACAGTGACCCCAGGATGAGACTTTAAGAATGAGTGTCGCTCACTGCGGGCTTCCTGCGTGCAGAGAAAATGCCAACCCGAACGACCCTGCACAGCAAATGCCGTTCTTAAAATCATTTCACAGAAGCTAACAGGGGCTTTTGCCACAGCCACAACACAGAGGCAGCAGGTGTATTCCTGATCCAGGCTTCCCACCCTGGAGCCAGCAGTCACCAAAGCCATCCTCACACCAGTCCAGGAGGCAGGGTGGAAGTCGCTGGAGACTGTGGACCCTAGACTTCAGCACCCGTGAGGTGTGAAGCATAAAGAACAGAATCAAGGGGCTTGAACAAACCTGGGAGATAAACGCAACAATGACGGCAAGTTATTGCTCAAGTGGTTTATGGGCAAGAGAGTTGAGGGAAGAGTTCAAGAAAAATGGTTGGCGACTCCCTGGAAGAATGAGAACACTCAGAATAATCCCACAGGGCATTTGCCATCCGTGCACGAACAGGCATTGAGGGTCAACCAAGAGCCAGGATCTCTGCTGGACCCCACACATAAAACAGAAAGACTAATAAAAGTCACACGGTCATTAGAGGAGATGGGCGTGCAAACAGGCAAATATTTGTTAACACCGCCCCGTGCAAGCCGGCAAGACAGAGGGCTGCACACAGAAGCCCAGGAAGCTGCGGATCACTCACACTGAATCCAAGTCAAGGTTAGAGGAAGCAAGGGCTGAGCTACTCTCCTTCGCTAGGTCAGGGAGGAGCAGAGAGGCCCCGAGCCACCAGCTGCTCAGAAAGAGGCTGTCACGAGGTGGCCTGGCAGGTCTGTGGCTTGGGAGCGCCCAGGGCATCTGCGTGTACACCCAACAGGGCACACTGACCCTTCTCACATCCACTCTGCCCGCCAAAAACTGACACTGAGGCCCCTCCCAGACCCTTGAACCTCTGTCTTCATAATCCACTAGGATTTCTTTCTTTCCCCTTTTTTATTTTGTGTCTCTATTGGGGCTGGAACTCGGGGCCAGGGAGTCGGGCCTTTAGCTTTTCTCTCAAGGCTGGCGCTCTACCACTTAAACCACACCTCTGACTTTTCGGTGGTTAACTAGAAATAATAAGGGTCTCCCAGAATTTCCTGCCCAGGCTGGATTTGAACTGTGATCCTCAGACCTCCGTCTCCCGCAAGGGTCTGCCTAAAATCCCTTCTTCTGTCTGACTGACAGAGTAGACGGAGTTCACGGAACACAGACGCACATGGGGCCCGGGCACCGTGAGCCACTTGTCACCACCCTGAACTGCACACAGGTTTCTGCAGGTGCTGAACTGGCCTCAGGAGAGCTGATAGCTTTCTGGGTCTCTGTACGGTAGCCCCAGGTGATTTCACTTGTGGTTCCCACCTCCGGGTGGACTGGGGCAGGCACCTGCTTCTACATACACTCTGCTTCTGCCCAGACATGGTTGTCTATGCCAATCAGACCGCTGTGTCCTCAATGCCACATTCTCCTCGAAGGAACAAAAGAGGAAGGAACATGAGGGGGAAGAGCCAAATGGCCCAAAGTGGCCAGCTAGATCATTCTCTCACCTACAAGGATAAGCCTTGTAGTTTAAAATTATTTTCCATGGAGTTCAAAGCTATATAATAATGACCATGGGAAGAGGATGAAGGAGGACTAAAATGTACAGAAAACATCTTCACATCTACCCTGTGCCAAGTCCAGGATAGCGCCGCTTCTCAAATTAAAAAAAAAAGAATTGTGCTTGTACTGGTGCTTGAACTCAGAGCCCTGCACTCTTACTTGGCTTTCTCAATCAAATCTAGCACTCCACCACTTGAGCCACCACATCTCCTCTACATTTAGCTTTCGCTGGTAAATTTCTTGGCCCAAGGTCAGAATGCTAATAAATGGCAAAGCCAGAATTCTAACCTAGGCATTCTGATTTCAGAGCCTGCCAGGCCCAGCCAGCCACCAGCCACACACAAGCTACATAGCTCTGCACTTAGGGCCCTGCAGTCAGTCAGTCCTTGCCTGGTATATGCCCTGTATATCCATGGGCACATACTGAATATTCATGATGCTGACCAGGCTCCACCAATCACATAGGTCTTCATCTGCATAAGTTCTTCCCTACAGACCTCCGCTGGGGGTCTTAGGAACCAGCTTCCCGGCCTCTTCAAAGCACACTTGGTGCCGTTCTGTTTCAGAGCCACCAACCCCCGCTGCTGAGTCATAGTTTATTTTTACATTAACTTTTCATATCAGAACATCTCGGTTTCAGCTGCCAATTCTTTAATGGAGTTTGTATACAGATGGAGAAAACTTCTGCCATTCCTATTTATTAACTCCAGGCATTTAATCGTATCTCATACTTCATTCTAGAAGAGTTCATCATTTCAAATGTTCAATAGGACTCCCTCCCAGTGAGATAGACTCAACTATTCAGACAGAGCAAGAACTGGACTGGCTAGACCTACGACAGGACAGGCTGGCTTTCCTGATTCACTCAGAGCTGCAGGAGTTCCAGGGTATGAGCTGTGGGTGTCGAGGCTCTGACTAGAGGGTCAGATGACATTTCTCCCACGGAGAACCCAATACTGGGCTTCATTCCCCACCCCCGCCTCCACCATCTCCAATGAAACCTAGGAATCCCTTCTGCTACGAAGACCCTATTTATCCAAACTATCAAACAGTGCTGAAGTTCTACCTAGCTTGCAAAATATACCTTTTGAACCCAGGTGTTGGTGGCTCACGCCTGTAATCCTAGCTACTCAGCAGGCTGAGATCTGAAGATCACAGCTTGAAGCCAGCCTGAACAGGAGAATTCATGAGACTCTTATCTCCAATTAGCCAGCAAAAAGGCAGAGCTGTGGCTCAAATGGTAGAGCATCAGCATTGAACGAAAAAGGGGCAGCACCTACTCCCTGAGTTGGAGGCCAGTACCGGCACAAAAATAAAATAAGAAATGAGAGAATCCAGGTCAACAGCCCACCCAGTCGTGACAGTTAGAGGACACTAACACTTGGAAACAGACAATCGGGCCCTCTGTGGAGCAACCCTGCAACCTCTGCTTGGAGCCTGGGCTACTTGGCCTGGGGTCAGAAAAGGAGGGCTACATCTGTCATTTCCCACACCCCATCCAGTGCCGAGTTAATCCTGCCCATCCCCTCAATGCCCGCTGACCGTCCCAGACAAGCACAGAGGCCAGCTGACAGCCCCAAGGGGCACCAGAGCAGCATAAGTACTTACAGAGCAGCACAAGTACTTACAGAGCAGCACAAGTACTTACGTCACTGCTCTTGGGCCTCGCCAAGGCCAGGCTGTCTCGGGCCAGTGCCACAATCACGTTGCTTTTCTCTCCAGCCCAGTGCACCACCATCTGATTGTGGGAGTCATTCAGACTGACCTGGAAGAGACCAACAGAGAATCAGGACCATGGCGAACAACAGCCACGCACGTCGGATGCTGCATGGACTCAGGCTGCAGGGCCTACATCCCCCACTGTGTATGCTCCACCAGAGAGGGTGTGTATGGGTACAGGGGAGCAGCTGGACATAAGAAATAACTTCTAATGTTCTACAGCGTGACGGAATAACATGGTTGATACAATTAATTGTCTATTTCAAAATAGAAAAGGCCACGGGGTGCAGCGGCCCATGCCTGTAATTCCAGCTATTCCAGAGGCTGAGATCAGGCGATCAAGGTTCATGGTCAATGTAGCAAAAAAGTTAGTGACATATAACCCCCAATTCAACCAACAATCAGAGTATGGAAGCATGCTCTACAGTCTCAGCTACTAAGGGCTATATGTAGGAGAATCAAGGTCAGAGTCTAGCCCTGGGCAAAAATACAAGACCCTATCAAAGAAAGGTGGGGGGGGAGGAAGGAAGGAAGGAAGGAAGGAAGGAAGGAAGGAAGGAAGGAAGGAAGGAAGGAAGGAAGGAA